CACCAGGAGCTTTTCCTCAGTAACATTAATGTCTAAAGAATCTCTGCTGAATCATTAATTCTGTGTGTCAGTTAATGAAATACCACATAAAAAATATATATATATAAAAAAAAAAAAATAATTGCAGTCAAACATAATTATTCAGTAATTCTATGACCTACTTAGCCTGCAAGAGCTTGATTGGAGAGTATTCAAAAATACTCTTCAGTCTTTTTTTACTATTTCAATATAGACATCTTCCATTTGATAACTAGGGCACAAGGTCAACTGGGTGGAGCTACAGATGGCCTCATCAACTACATCATGCTTTCTGAACTGGTTGGGACTGGACTGGACTGGTTCTGAATTGGGTTTGGAGTGTGTGGTTAAAAAACCCCAACAATTTTGTCTGTCTCCAGGACATCTCAGAATTCCTAAAATTGTGACTTTTCATCCTTGTTAAAGGGCCACTTGGCAATTGGTGCTACAGGACAACACCTGATGATACACAATAAGTAATTTGATTACTTTTGGATGATTCTGCGTGATTTGGAATGCAAAGCTGTTAAAGATCTCCCAAGATCCCCATCTCTGACGCAGAACACCAACAGCCATTCATATCCTGACCCCTCATTGAGATGTTCTTGCTTTTTTTGCAAGTAGAGTTGAACAATTCGCTCTGGAGGGTCCTTGTTTTCTGGTGGTATTGGTTAGGGGGAACAGGAACCCGTATAAAGTCAAAGGCAGATTCATGGTGCTGCCATTAAGACACAACAAGATAAATATTCCTTATCCAATGCCCAAATGCGGAGTCAAACCAGCTTGATTACCTACAGGGAAGAACTTGCCATATAAAATAGTAGCCCTATGACTGTGAGGCCTTCTACTATAAAGTTTTACCCAAGAGATGGGATTGTACCCTAATGAAGCAATGTCTTTGTCTTTATTGACTTTGTCTTTAGTGAATCTAAATTCTTTGAGCCAATCAGCCACACACTGTTCAACCATACTCTGTGTACTCTTGTTCTACAGTTAACATACCTCTAGGTCAAATGCAGGGACAATTAATGGTCACACTAGCTCCTGTGTCAACCAGGTAGTGTTCATCCTCAGTGTCAGTATAGATCCCATTACCATGGCTAGATTTAATCATGATGAGTTTGGCCTTCTTTGGTGGGTACAAACTTGTAAAACTTCTGGCTGAAAGGATGTTGGTTTTCTCTACTTACATAACTCTTATCAAAGTTCTTCTTTCTCTTTCCCTTTTCTGTCGTAACTCTTTATTTAAACTTCTTAACGGTGACGGTGACTGTTTACCATAACCCAGGTGTCACAAAGTTAGCTCTTGGCTGCTTCCTCTGGGTTAATGGGTCTTAAAGTTAGCATCAGCCCCCCTAGTTCCAGACTGGTTTGTCGACCCTGAACTTCTTTACTGCAGGGCCATGAACTCTCTTCTTTTGGACATAGTCTTCTTCACTCAAGCATCCTCAGGTTGGGTGACTTAGGGGGCCACGGGAGCTTAGCTTGAGTGCTGTAGCCAAATGGAAACATCTCTTCAGGATGAATTCTTAGTTCCCCAGCAATCAATAAGTCTCTCTCAATTATTTACGATATTGTGACAACCCTTTGCTTATGTCTCTCTGTGTGCCCTATACTCATGGTGTGTGTTTTGTCTTGGAGTTGTCAGAGGAGCTGATTGAGCATATCCAATCCGATCTGGAGCACCTGGGCCCAGTGAGTGCCAGATATAAAATCTCCAGCTTCCTGCGTGGCTCTCTCTTTTTCTTTCTCTCTCATCCATCCACATATCATATTTCAAGTTGCGTTTAAGTTATTCTTTGTTGTTAGAATAAATAATTGTTATTTTTTGCAAAACTGTGTCTTATCCACTTTTGGTCATGGCCTATGGGACAGGTTGTCACACTATATGGATGTCCTCCATCAGGTAACTAGTAAGCACAAGGTCAACTAGGTGCAGCTACAGATGGCCTGACCAACTTTGCAATAGAAATAAGCTGCTTCATGACACAAACATCATACCCATTATTCATAAGTTCAGGACAGCTCAGGTCCTAAACCAATGTTTTGCAGTGTTTTTCTGTTCTGATCAAGGTACTTCCCCATAATCTCAGCCATCTGTGTCCGCTCGGACTCCTCAGTGCTTTCCACCAGTTCTTTCATTTCCCTATACTCTCATTTACAAGCCCACTCCTATAAGACCACAAAGTGGTTAAATTTCTTCAACTTTAATTCTCATTTTTAACTAAAAATGTCCCCTTCTTTTGCTGTGCTGTGGATCTTATTTTGTTGATGGCAGGTCAGGTATTGGAGATATACAGATCCAGTGAGCAATGACCAGCTCTGATTGCTATTTCTCCTTTTCTGAGCCTTCTGTGGTAGAATTAAATATAATAAACTATATCATGACAATACGATTTTAAAATAGTTTGCAAATGCATTAAGAAGAAAAAAAGAAATATCAGAAATATTCAGACCCTTTGATATTACACTTGAAATTTAGCTCAGATGCCTTCCTTTTCTCTTGATCATCTTTGAGTGTGTGCTTCAGCACATTTCTGCTAATGTAATGAGATATTCTTTTTTCCTCTCCTTCCTTTGATCTTACTGTCACCTGCAGGTCAGTCCATTCTCCTGTGTGATACATACATTATTTCCATTTATGTTCTCTGTGAAGTATACAAATATTGTATTTCTTGCCTGATAGGTGTGCAGATCAGATTAGATGGGAATGGGTCTACTCTGTGTTCTGGAAGGGTTGAAAACACCTGGGGAACAGTCTGTGATCACAGCTGGACCTTATTTGAGGCTAATGTGGTGTGCAAGGCCCTGGTCTGTGGTACTACACTGAGGGCCTCTCACTTGTCCTACTTTGGTCAAGGAAAAGGATCAATCTGGCTTGATGATGTGGACTGTTCAGGAAGCAAAAGTTCTATAACTGAGTGTCAGCACAAAGAATGTGGGGAACACAGCTGTTACCACGCTGAGCCCTGTTCAGGTGAGAAGACATTTTTATCTAGTATCTCATCTTTAAATTAAGTAATAAAGTTAAAATCAGTGCAGTTATCTGCATAGTTCCTCTATCAGTCAGTCCATGCATTTCTATAGAGCACTATAAAGTGATGACATATGGGATCAAGTACGTTAGTTAAGTACTAAATATATAGAATATATATATACATGCATAACAATACACTACTATGCCAAAGCAATCCTAATATTGGAAGTTTCCATTCTCCTGTGTGATTTATACAATTCCTGGTGTTTTCCATATATGTTGTAATAATGTAATAATTTGACACTAATTGTGTGATTGCTGCAAGCTGCATTATTTTGCCAATTATTCTTTTTCTTACATAAGTTTTTTCATAGGTTCCACAGGCCTCCCGGGGGAGATGTTATTGTTTCCCCCCATAGTCTCTGGTCTACGAAGTCCACTGTGGGTGTTGTGGACCTGCTGCTGCGGTGCCAGTTGGGGCTGTTGTCTTCTGGGTGGAGCCAAGTCCAGATCAGGATTTTTGCATCCTGCCAGTGAGCATATACTTTCCAGTCTGCTCTGAACACTTTTCCTCTTTTCTTTCTTAGTTTTTCACATTTGTAATTATTTCATGCTAAAGCTGCCACTGTTTGGAAATACACATTCTGTTTGGAAAGAAAGGCCTGCAGTTTATATGAGCAAATATAGTAGCAGCACCTTTGGTAGGGCTTTACCTTGTCAATCTATGTATAGGTGCCAAGTGTCTCCACACACTACCCCTACCTGCTGCTTGATTCATTGTTTCTATGCAGTCATATGTCGTGTCTTCCGTCCCCTATTCTCTGCATCAGTAACATACATGGGAGTGCAGTTCGAGAAAGTACCTTCTACTGCTGTGCGCTGGTTCCATGGTGTAATGGTTAGCACTCTGGACTCTGAATCCAGCAATCTGAGTTCAAATCTCAGTGGAACCTGATGTTAAGCTGCAGTGCTGCGTGTAATGCCACTTGTCCTCTGTGGTAATGTCCTATCTTCATTCATGAGGAAGTTTCCTGCAAACCCTGTTGCTGAATAGGTTCACAATGAATTTGTTAAACACACAATCCTATTTACTCTTTTTCTCGTCAGTGAACGAAACAGCTGTTTGTTGAAATAGACACAATTTTTCTCATGTCTTTAAAACCTTTGAGCCTTACAACGCTTAACCTGGCTTGAAAACCTGATCTCTGAGTGAGAGCTAATTATGTTGCAAAAGCTTAACAGGTGTGTCCTGTGGTTCCATGGTGTAATGGTCAGCACTCTGGACTTTGAATCCAATGGTCCGAGTTCAAATCTCGGTGGAACCTGATTTAATGCCAGTGACAGGTAAAAGAGTTAACCGGGGGAGGAAGGGGCTGCGTTCTTGAGGGTGATGATGATTAAAGCTTTTCCAAGGATGTTCTAACCAGACGGGTATTGCACAAAACCAGGATAAGGGATTAAGCCGGGATATGTTTGTTATCCTGGCTTAATTTAGCCTCAAGTCGGTTGCATGAAAGCAGGTTCAACTTAACCCGGCCAAGTTACTATGGTGATTTGTTCTCTGCAGCTAGCCTGCTCCAGACCAGGCTAACAGCCAGGCTAACATTAGTCCTAGTGATTCACCTGTATTTCCACCGTCAATCCTGTGAGGAATTAATGTGTTTTACAGCATGTCCATGGTCTTTCTAAGTATGTTGCATCATTTTAATTATCCTGCATTAAAATATTACATATATATTGTCATTTTTCATTTCATTTAAATCTGTTGGCTGTTTGTAATTGCAACAGTCTTTTTATATTGATTCAAGTGGTAGTATTATTACTCAGGACAAGTGTTCTAGTGCTATGCTAATGAAGACTGCTTGTCAAAATGCCGTCAGAGGTTTCATAAATATGTGTTTTATTGCAGTAATTGAGATTACAAAACACAGCTGATGAAGTTGCAAAGCTGTTTTCAATGAAGTCTGTGACGAGGACAATATAGTATATATAGGTCTATCTCCCATTCACCTGTTCCCTCTTCATAATGGCTTGCCCTTTTTTGGAGGATGTACTGGATGAGGAAGCCCTAATCCTCAGACGAGCATTTAGGCATGAAAGAGTCTTCCGGGACAGGTCAGACCCATTGGCTGTTGGAGATAACTATCTCATTGAGAGATACAGATTCTCAGGTGATGGACTAAGATATTTATGTAGGCTGCTGGGTCCAAAAATACAGCACCAGACGGCAGGAAGCCATGCTCTGACTGTACCACAGATGGTCTGTGTTACATTGAGATGGTTTGCAAGTGGGAGCTTCCTTTATTCTGTTGGGGATGCAGAGAACCTCAATAAAGGAACCATTTGCCGCACAATAAGACGTGTTTGTCTGTCGCTGAAGTCATTCAGCAACATATTCATCACCTTCCCTGGCCACAGAAGACTCCTCTACATCAAGGAGGAGTTTTACAAGATTGCAGGTAACCTCAATTTAAACGTGTAACCATTAGTTTCTAATTTGATTAGTCACAGTTGGATACTCACTATTTTTTGTTACAGCTTTCCCTAACATCATTGGTGCAGTGGATTGCACACACATCAGGATCAAACGCCCCTCAGGAGAACATGAGGGAGATTACGTTAACAGGAAATCCTTCCACAGCATCAATGTTCAGGTAAGAGTGATTTGTAGTTACTATGACCTGCATAAATTAATTCTGTGCATTAAATGACCTTAATAGGTTACAACTTTACATTTCATATGATATGTGATGCTGACTGCCTTGTCAGCAATTTAGAGGCAAAGTGGCCTGGCTCAGTGCATGACTCCAGAGTCTTTCGGGCTAGTCTGATTTACGAGAGACTTTCACAAGGTAAGCCACACATTTTATTTGTACTGTACTGTACTCTAAATGATATCTTGTATTATCAGACGAATTCTCTGGTGTGCTGCTGGGAGACAAAGGCTATGCCTGCGTGTCATTCCTCTTGACTCCCCTTGCGGACCCCCAAACCCCACCACAGCAGGCCTACAACCATGCACACAACAAGACAAGGGCTCGAATCGAGATGACCTTCGGCCTTCTGAAATCTCGGTTTCAGTGCCTGCACCACCTGAGAGTTTCCCCAGACAGGGCCTGTGATGTCATTGCTGCATGCGCAGTACTGCATAACATTGCAGGCCTGAGAAAGGAGAGGCAGTTAATATGACAAAATACAGTATCAGCTGTGTTTGTAAGGGTCAATGTTGTCAACCTATCCAAATCCTGTTGCTACATGTTGAATTTGTGTCCTGCACACCCTGTTGATGAATTGATTTTGTGGGACCTGATTTGGGGAGAGTTTAAGTCAGTAAATGCATAAATAAATACAGAACTAAGTGAATCAAACAATATAGGAATCAATAAAAGTTGGTCATCAAATTGTACCTACATAAATAAACGTCTTGAATGTATTCTCACATTCTGATACACATAGACACTAATCTGACAGAATAACAGAACATGGTGTAAAAACGTCTTTAAAAGGTCCATTTGCAGCTGAAGCTCTCGCTTACAGTGTCCATAAGAACGGGGTCCTGAAAGGAATCCCAACAAAAATCTTACAAACAAAATTACAAACAAAAGATTTACCAATATAACCAAAATACTCCCCAAAAGACAATACTGTACATTACCAACATTCCGTGTTTACAAGAAAAGCACAACATCAGAGGGGAAATAGTGGCCTGCTCCAACGGTCCAACATCCCTTGCAGCACGTTCCTGCCCCAGCAACCGGTGCACCTAGGAAGCAGTTTAAGAGGCTAGGAAGCGGCAAAAGGAGAACCAAGCACCTGAAAGCAGTTAAGATATCACACCTGGGGAGCTCAGGACAGCGCGTCCGCCACTACGTTGTCGGTCCCCTTTACATAAAGGATATCTATGCACCAGTTTATCAATGTTACCGAGAGCTTCTAAGTTTTTCAAATGTCCACACAACAAGGTTCGCTCACATACCAGAGCGTCAGGATGAGACTCACCCTTCCTTGAACCAGCTACACAAACCACTGCTCGGTTAGGTTTATCCGTCATCTGGCATGTATGACAAGTTGTTGTTATGACATGTTTTTTTTTTTTACGCCAGAGTGTCCAGACTCATCATGAGCTACTTTTAACACTGACTGGCGGAGTGCGACTGGCAACACTAATTGAAACACTGGATCTCCAACAAAACTCTTGCTGTGCTGAACCCATTTCTTCACCAAAAGCGCATCCTGAAGAAAATAACTGCAAGCACTGTCCAGTACTTCACTCTCAGGTTGGACCTGCTCAAACAGCACCTTCAGGGAGGGGTCAGCCTGCTGCTCAGCAACCAGATCACTACGGGATATTGACACAGGGAAATTAGACAGAGGTATTGAGAACTTCCCAGAAACATTTTCCTTATTTGACCGAGCTTCAGTTTTCAAAGTAGCCATAGCACGAGTTACAGCACAGGCTGTGTAAGCCTCAGGAAAATGATGTTCATTTTCGTCTGTCTGCAATCCCACAAGTGACCCTGGCACCACACCCGCAGGTGGAGGTACCTCTGCCCACATCCGAGCACCCACTAAATCGTTACCCAGAACGACATGAATTCCCCGGATTGGCAACGCCGGACGCACAGCTAGCTCAGCTTCACCCTGGAACAGCTCACAGTCAAGCATCACTTTGTGCACCGGAACAAACAACATATTCAAATCCATACCCCGAACAGGAACAGAGCTACCCGTTTGTGATTCGTTGGACAAGGGTAAAACCTCTGCGTGAATGAAAGAGTTAAATGCCCCAGTGTCTCTCAAAATAGTCACCGGCACCTTCTCCTCACTTCCTATCATAGAAGCAAAACCTTCACGAATAAATGGTTTGGAATAAAAATAAAAGATTCCAAATCAGAAGGACAAGAGTCTTTTTTACGCATGCTAGAAATCAAATCAGGAGTGATGATTTGAGAAACGGGTGGGGCTAAACAAACCCCTTTAACATTGTCACCAAAAGCAGCATTTATAGGCTTTTATTTTAACCAGGGAAAATCAATTTTCCAGTGTCCTGGTTTGTGACAGTAGTTACAAACTTTTTCTGGATCCGGTATATTACCACCTCTACCAACAACTTGATAAGGTTTGCCATGCCGGCCACCCGACTCCACACCACCGACAGGACCAATACCAGGTCTAGACTCCCCAAAACTGCCTCTGTGCGTCAGCACATAATCATCAGCAAGTTTTTGCTTTCTGCTCACTGATGTATGTGGCAACACGCACAAGTACTGAATTTTTAAGTTGCTCAAGCACAGTGAGATCACACAATCCCTCAAAGTCTTCCACATCTGAAGCACAATACCAGCGAGTGAAAAATGTGGTCAGTATAATATTTTTGACTGTCAGAATCACTTAATGATGCATACGCCTCTTGAGCTTTACCCGTCAATATGCACTGCAACATAAGTGTGCGTGCTGAGTCCGGCCAATTACTCGCATCAGCCACACGTTCAAATAATGAGAAAAAAGTCTCTGGATCTCTCTCCGAAAATTTTGGTAACAGGCGCAAGTTACCCAAAACATCAAAATCCTCATAACCCAACATGGAGAACGACTTCCTACCTGTCTCACTGACCGCTGGAAGCTTACCTTCCCCTATAAGTGCAATTTTATACTGCTCAATTTCCAATTTAAGCTGCTCAGTCTCCTGGCGCAGCCTCTCCACAGTCACCTCTTTCTCCAATTCCGCTTTTATTTTGAATCTGTCATTTTCAAGTTTTAACATTAGCAACTCTTTTTGTTGGTCAAACGTGAAACCTGTTTCTTTTACGATCGGAGACAACGTTACACCAGGAGAAACAGTTGACAGTTCCTCAGTTAAAACTTTCTTCTCAAATAAATTCAATTTCAACATGATCTTTACTTTCTCTTTTTGTCATTTATCCCCAACATGTACCTCATAATGTTCTGCAATTTGCAATAGTTGGTCTTTTGTACAGTGGTCTAACAACTCCTCTGAGGGAGAAGCAAAAAATTTGCTGGCCTCACCGGTGCACAAAACAAAACTGGGTTAGACAGCAACTAGTGCACCCCTCTAGCTAACTGCCTCAACCATCATCTGCCTACCTAAGCTCAACCCTAGTCTTCATGCAGTTAATGGTGGTGGGTAATTATGCACTTGAAGCCCAGTGCTGAGAGAAAGCAACCAGAAACTGGCGACTCACCCAAAACCATGGATGTGCTCCTGAGACAAATTGCTCTGACCACGGTCACCTCAACACTAATAAATCAAACAAGACGAAATCCAAATCACTGAACCTAACAGGGGAACCCCAGTTAGTCATTAACTTACCATTTCCTACACACGAAAAAAAACTCTAAATCTGCAAAAAAAAAAGTACTTGGAACATACTTCCAAACAGCTGCATCTCACAAACAAAAACGCAGATTTCCCGCTTTTGGATACAAAGAAATTATGCACACAGGACAGCGCTATAGGGAATCCCCAGGGAAATCCTCACAAAGACTAGTGATGTCAACTATGACGACCACGCCATTCACAAATTTGGACCATGTCACAAGGCGCGAAGCTCAAACTAGTAGGCCTAAATATACGATGGAACAGACAATGGCACAACAATTTAACCGTACCAAAACTACCTACCCTTCAGCGCAGAAAGGACCATCAAACAGACTACCAAAACCAGCCCCCACTTTGTCACGACCTGGCTCTGGAGCCGTGACAAAAACGAGGAGATGCAGTTGAAAGAACAAATTCTAAGTAATTTATTTAAACATAACAACCTAAATGCAACCCGAAAAAGAACTAATAGAAGATGAGGTGTGTTTGTCAGTAACATCAGTAGTCAAAGTGTGTGTATGCAGGAGTGTGATGTATAATGAAAAGTAAATGTTGGATGTTAAAACACAACTACTCCGAATACCAGCAATGATAATAAGATAGAGAGCCCCCGTCAGCCAGAGAGGCGGGGCTTTTATAACTGGGAAACACCGGGCCCAGGTGCTTCCGGCGATGCCGATTGGTCCAACCCACAAATACCTGCTCCCTTAAAAGGAAGAGGAAACATTAGAGCCACTCAGGGGACCGTCACAACAGCAATAACACCCTGAACACGCCCGATCCCAGAAGATAAGCAGGATCGGGCCTGGTTAGTACTTGGCTGGTAGACCATCTGGGAATACCAGGTGCTGTAAGCTTTTTAATTTCTCTTAACAGCAGTGGCTGCTGCTTCTTCAGTGTACACAGAACGTTGTTCAGATATCTTCCTTTTACCATTCAGATGGAATTCATTTGATTCCACTATTGTTGTTATAGTTGTTGTTGTTGTTATCACTTGTCCACTGCAGGATGAATTGATTTAGTGGAACGTGATTTTTGCTGTCTTTACGCTGGGTAGCATAAAACAACATTCAAACAATTTAAAATACAACCATTAACTATATATTCAAAATTTCAAATTCAAAAAACATAGCCTGTGGTGGCAGGTGCACTGGCTTGTGGGTTGATGGTTACTGACACAGGAAGGAACTGGACTAGACTGAAAGTCTGTCCTGCTGGTGTGGGGATCCGAGGTGAAGCTGTCAGACTGGGTCCTGGTGCTGGGGGTGGGACAAACAAACTACCCTTTGGCATAATGGGATGTGGGCGTCTTTCTAAGAAGGGGAAGAAGGGGGGAGAAGGGGGAAGAAGAAAAAGAAGGGGAAAGGGAAGAAAAGAGGAAAAAGGGAGAAAGCAATTGATAAATACGTCTTTTTGTGTCCATATCTTCTTGATTAAGGTATTTTTTGGGTGCTTGGACACAAGTAGGAAACTTTTGATAATTTAAACACGGGATTCGAACCTGCTAAACTGGGAATGCTACGTTCAATGTACCCAGGGGTACATAGAACTGTCATTGACGTCACAGTTACATTCGTTGTTATTTCTGCATGCATTCTCTGCTATTTTAAATGTTCTAGGCTTACTAAGATTTCAATTTAGGCTTTTATTTATATGTAAAACTAAGAATAAATACTAAATAATTTCATATGTGAAATGTGTCATATAGGTGTGTCACATTATTAATGTAAATAATGAATAATTATTTGTTATCATTTTGTTTTCTACCTCTCCCACCTACCTGAAGGACTGGAATGCCCTCTGCAAAGGCTGATGTCATGACTTGGATCTTTCCCTACATCTCCTCTATGTAGCGTATATCAGAAACCACCTCCCATATAATTTTATAGAATATTACTTGTCTTTTTCTGTTTGTGGTTTATAATGTATTGTCTTTTCAAGTATCAAATGTATTAATGAGGGGAAATTAACCTAATAAATAAATAACATACCATCTGGCTGTTACCAAATGTCACATCACCACCATTATGACATTATTATCACACTTACTGTTGTTGTCAATAAAAATACCCACTAGTTTTGTTTTTAATGGACAAAAAGGAAGCAAGGGAAAAGTTTAGCTAAAAATGTAATCAAAACAGATTATAAAACACAACAAATACTGTTTATTTACAGTGAATACAGAACGCAGAATAACAATAAAACAGCACACATAATAATACTAATAAAACAGAACAGAATAATAATAAAACATCTTTTAAACTATTAACAATAAACCTATTTACAGTGGCATTACTTTCTTCACATTTCCACCAACCGATCCTCTTTGGAAAGTGTTTCCGTATTAGGACAATAAACCCTGCCACGGGAATGGCTGTGCCCAGTCGCAGCAGTGCGGAACTGCCCACACTTTTTGCAAGTGTTGGCTTGCACCGTTTGCCTGTAAGGCCTTTTAGGAATGGCACCAGCTCCCTGTGTGTCTGCTGGAGCACCAATTTGTGGATTAATGCCCTGACATGCTGCCACTACAGGTATGAAAAAAACAGCCTGTCCTGCATGTGCGATTAGGGTGCTGGGGTGGACCAAGGGTGCTGGTAGGGTGCTGGGGTGGACAAAGGGTGCTGGTGCTGAGGGAGTGGCAAACAGCTGTCTCTTTGCTGCCCCCTTTGGAAGTAAGGGACGCGGTGTCTGCCGCTGTTGTGCCTGACCGGCTGTGGTCTCGGTACTGGTGTTCCTGGCATGCTGGAACGGGCTCAGTGGGGAGCACTCTTGCCTCCTGAAGAGGCTCTTCAGCCACGGCAAGGGCTGGAGGTAATGCCGTGCCTTGCAACGGTGCCAACCACCAACTGCCTGATCTTCCAATAGTCACTGAGAATTAAGGACCACCGGGAATCTGTCCCCTTACCCTTCCTCACTGGGCTTGGGTACAGATAGCGCAGTCTTATAAAAATGTTCTCCACTACCCGACAGCAATCTGGCCACTGGGCAGGTGCACTACTTGCACCTAGCATGCAGCGAGTGGTGCTCTCCACACCAGGAGTTTTTGAAGGCTTTTTTGGTGTTCTAAAGCGACCACTCAAAAGTCTCTCTTGGTGTCGTGCAGCATAAACCACCCGCTTCTTGTCTCCTTCGTCCAGGCTCTCCCACAGGTGTACAATTGTGTCCACCTGCTGGTTGCTGAGGCAGAGTGAGGCTGACCACGTAGCTCCACCAAGTACTCAGCAAGCCGGTCTACATGCTGGTATCAAGGCACATTCTGGTCAACGACAGCCTATGAAAATGATTAAACAGAAAATCAAAAAAATCGCAATGTAAAACCTTCACTGACACTTTATGACACTTATGCTGATGTAGTGGATTTAACGAAATATGTGATATGTATACACATACACATATATACAAAATAGTGCTGAGAACTTCAATTTTTTATACATAAAATTATGGTGTTTAAAATGATCATATGGCTATTTACCATAGTTTCATCTTCGGCCTCAGTCAATGAACTTTAAGGCGGAGAGGAGGTGCCAGGGGCCAAAGTGGTTCTGCCAGGGGCCAAGGTGGCAGTGGCTGGAGCCAGGAAGGAGAAGCCAGGAGCCAGGGTGGAGGTGTCAGGGGCCAGAGTGGTTCTGCCAGGGGCCAGGGTGGCAGTGGCTGGAGCCAGGGAGGAGAAGCCAGGAGCCAGGGTGGAGGTGTCAGGGGCCAGAGTGGTTCTGCCAGGGGCCAGGGTGGCAGTGGCTGGAGCCAGGGAAGAGATTCCAGGAGCCAGGGTGGCAGTGCCAGGAGCCAGGGTGATTCTGCCAAGGGCCAGGGTGGCAGTGGCAGTGGCAGGAGCCAGGGAGGAGGTGCCAGGAGCCAGGGTGGTTCTGCCAAGGGCCAGGGTGGCAGTGCCAGGAGCCAGGGTTGGTGTATTAGGAGCCTCTATGTCCAGCAGTGTGGTCGCAGTCTCCCCTGGAGGCTTGGGTTCGAATCCCACTTCTGACAGCCATAACTTTTCACTGGAACTATTGCAGGTAACACTGTGTTTGGAAAGAAAGGCCTGCAGTTTATATGAGCAAATACAGTAGTTGCAGTACAGTAGTTCTCTGGCTCCAACATCACCGACACCAAGCCAGTAGTCAACAACTCAGCCTCCTTTAACTTCCCTGTAGCTGAGTATGAACACCAGAGCAACTACAGCTGTGTGTATGAAGTCACACAGTCCTCAAGGAAATTCACTTCCACCCCTAGTGGGGGTCCCAATCCCCAGGTTGGGAACCACTGCTGTAGATCCTCACTCAGTAATCAGGTGTATGCCAACCTTTGTACTGCATAAAACCAGTTATTGTCCATACCTACACACCACCGCTATAGTCCCTTATTGTGTGAAATGTGTGTGAGGTTTCTTGCCATAAATTTAAAAAATAGCCCAACACATGATACATTTCTGTAATCCTTAAGATGTCACTTATCCGTTTTAGGAGGAAAGAAGGATATACCATATTCCAAAGAGAAACAAAAAAAAACATTGTAGGTGTAGGAAAGAAATATTTTGGGTGAAAAAAGTATTTCTGGTAAAAACCTGGGGGTCAGAGCACTCCCAGCTCACTGCGTCACGTGTCATTTGGGAAACAAACAAAGAATTATATGTTCCAGATTGGTAGTTGAAATTGAGTCATTTTTTTCTAATATTTCCAAAAAAATGGTTTAAAATTCAATAACATGAGACAAATGAAAAGAAAATAGTATGGTTTGGAGTTTTCTTTGGTCATTTCTGGTTTTATTTTGTAGTTTTTGTCTTGTGTCTTGTTCTACTTTACTTCCTGTCTTTGTTTTTTTCCCACATCTTTGCTACACATGCCTTGTTTATATGTGCTTCCTGCCAGCTCCCCTGTGTTTCCTTGTGTTCATGTGAACTTCCTCAGTTGGATTTTTTTTCTGGATTACTTTGATCAATTGTTTCAGACTACTGCCTTTGTTTGACCAGTTTTAATATTAAACTCCCCCTTAACCTGTTCTACCAGTCTGCATCTGGGTTCAGATCCTTACCACCACTCAACAAAAAAGTAATTAAAAGTATGTTATTTGTGTTTTTATTAATAATATATTTATTCATTCATTTCTTTATAACTTTGAATTCACCAAATACCTTGCTAGAAAGAGTGAAAGGTATGCTTAACACAAAAACTAAATCCTCAATAAAGCAAATTTAAAATGTATCTTGTGTGTTTTTCATTACATTGGAGGAAATGCAATTTTCAATAAAAATGTTCAGCTGTTGTCATCTACCATTTGTCTAAATAAAATTGACTATTCCCAGTGGCTTTCTGACATGACGCTATATTTTCAGCTACCAGAGAAGAAAGCAACCGGGCAAAAGATACTCATGTAATCAGTAATGGAGCTGTTTAACAGTACAGCCACAAAGCAAACTTTGACATCCTTAGTACTGTGCCTTTCCTTTCTGGGTTCAAGCACGTTTCATGGAATGATTCAGAAAATACCCATGGCAGGATGGCCCCGGATGGCACTGGTGGTGCCGTAAAGAAGGATGCAGATCTCTTTGTCCAATGAGGAGGCGTGCTGCAGACTCCACTGGACTTGTATGAGATGCTGGCTAAATAATCAGATTAACTGATTAACAGTGCTCTCCAGGATACAACAGACCACTGGATGTGGATGATATGACTCTGGCCCATATGTGCATGCTCTAACTTCCCTAAACTCCCCAACAGACCCTGGATGGTCTTGACATATAGGTAGAGCAGTGGTTTTAGAAAATAACATACTGTGGTTGCAGGGCGGAATAAGAGACAGGAAGCAACTCTCAGCTGCTCTAGATACTCTGTTTTTATACATGTTAACGGGTGCATTTACCTCAGTTATATGAGACAGTATTTCTGTCTTTTATTATGCTTTTGGGCCAGAAGCAGACATGTTGATTATTTCAATAAATCTAAAAACAGGAATTAGTTTTTGTTTTGTCTTTGGCCAAAGCAACGGTCTGCCTGTGGGTAGCTTTCATGTGTTATACAGGTATGTCACGTTACATGCAAACACCAACCTGATTATTCTTAACCAAACTCAACCCAAGGAAATGTAAAGTTTTACATATCACTAGCATGAGACACACAGCACCCCAAATGTTGTCCTCAGTCAGCTTTTTGCTCTGTGTCACCTGGAAAAATTTGGGGATTGATTTCCATGTATACAGGTTACGTGTGTCCAGCGCTGGACTATGATGCAAGGCTAATGGTGAGAATGGCCTGGGGGACAGGGCAGTTTCAGGACACTGCTGTGGAACGGATGGAGACAGGCAGGACGTCCTGCTGCACTCCACCCAGTGGAACTGAATCCCAGAGAGTCCAGCAATAGCAGAGAGAGCCAGAATATGTTTACATCTTACTCTGTGAATTAAGGATTTGGTTGGTGATTGTTGGAACAGTGGAAAGTCTAACAAAGACGGTTTTGGTGAGTTTTATTTTCTGTTGAGCTTAAATAAAGTGGTTTATATATGTCGGAGTATTAGGGCCAGGCATAAGAGAAAAAAAAATGTATTATTATAATAATAATTATTATAATTATTATTATTATTATTTTCATTATTATTTTCATTATTATTACTGTTAAAGTTTAAATACACTGTTGATAATAAAGTAATTTAAACTATCACAGCAAAATGATCTGTCTGGCCATTCCCTGTGCATCTGTCAGAGCGCAGTCAATGAATCAGCAGCACCTACAGTTAGCACGTTTTACTCTCATTTGCGGTCAGGCTTCTCTGTCCTCTCTTAAGAGCAGGACTCAGCTCCACACACACACATAGGGTGCATCTCAAGTCTCTCACACACACAGAGAGACGTAGAGAAGCGATATTTCCACCTGCTTTGTCTGCAGTTGATGTCATGAATAATAATTACTTAACTGACATGTTAGATTTGTTTCCAGTATTATTGAGCTTGTATACTGACCTAGTATCTATCATTTTGTCTTCCTGTTAAATAAAATGTGACACATCCTTACCTAAGCATGAACTAAATTGATTTGAACCAGTCATATCATGCCATTCACCTGTCAATCAATCTCCAACTTCAGTTTCTGGGGGGCCGGGCCTCACTGATTGCTGTACAAAAACACAACTTTATCACATCATATTTTACAGAGAGAATTTTGTCTGTTTTTCCTCTGATGTCCTTTAGGTCAGAAAAAAAATATTTAAAAACAAAAAGGTGTGAGAAGGAGATGCAACCTTTTAATATATATATATTTAGTATTCGATATAGCCGAATACTATATCATAAGTAGTAGTATAAATAATATTGTTGCAGTTAGTATAAATCTTCCTTTTAAGATGATCTAGATTTTTTTTATACATTTTTTGTTTGGTACAAAGGTGCCAGATTACCAAAGAGAGCTCCTAAAGACAGCTGTATAGGATTTCATCTTCCCTTCGTTTTGTACCTCAGGACACAAGTGAACTTATTCATGCTTGTATTTCAGTACATTACTTACATTTCTTTTGGAAAGTGTTAAAATTTACTGAAAGCCTATTTTTTTAGGATAGTAATAAAGTATATACAGTCCACAAATAGCTGCTCTTGTAATTGTAGTATAATATTCAATAGGTTTACACTGGCAAAGAAGTGTTATGTTACAATACATCTTACACATAAACCCATGTTAATAAAAACACTAAAAGCTTACTTCAGAAGTACAGGGGTCAGGGTTTTGTTGTTTTATTTTGTAATACTCACTCCTCCACTCGTGGCAGTAACTTTGACTTTGAAAAAATGGATTGATTTACAGGGGAATGGCATGATTATTGGTTGAAATCGGTTCACGCTTGCGGAAGCATGCGTCACATTTTGTTTTACAGGAAGGGAAAATTATTGGATTTTGATACAAATAGGGAAAAGTCCATTCAGAAACTAACACATTCATACACATTCACAAGCAATTCAGGGTTCAGTATCTTGCTCAAGGATACTTCGACATGTGGCGGGAGGAGCCGGGGATCAACCAACAAACCAACAACCTTCCAATTAGTGGACGACCCGCTCTTCCTCTGAGCCACAGCCTCCCAAGAGAATAAAGAATTCAAATAATATTTTTCATTTCACCTGGACTTTAATGAAGTTTTTTGATGTTATAATTCAACACTGTAATAATCTTGAAGCTAAGAGTCAGTTGTCCCCCATTTAACCTGTTAAGCCCTAGCCATATTTTCAGAATAAATGCCTAAAAAGACATACCCAAAGTAAATGAAGAATTGCTTCACAGTTATAGGGTTCATATGCATTTCACATTTTGACGATAAAATGCTTAATTTTGCTGCTTCTTTGCTACAGGGCTGACATGAGCTGGTTAGGTCGGATTATGTTTTGCTTGGTATCAGCAGAAAGATGAGCTTCTCTAGTTTAATTTGACACCTAACATGACTGAGTCGAGCGAGCGGATATATGTGTACTGCTGCGTTTCATTTCGACTGTCCCATATATTCACAGAGCTGTTATATTTTTAGTTAATTGTTTAAATTATTGCCAAACAAACTGTGTTTGAGAAAAATACACTTGGACTGTTGTTTTGGTAGAGTTGAAGCCTTGTCTTTTGGAAACATTTGAAAAAAAAAAAAAACAGCGTTTTATTAACTTTTTACAGGCAGTAAAGCATTGTAGCGCTTGGTATAGGGTCCGGCAGGTCTAATAGGTTAAGCAGTTTAAAGTAATAATATAGTGGGTGCTTGATTTCAGACAGTGGTAGGCTTCTACAGTGTATTTCCATCTAAAATGGCAACTTTTTCTGGCAGATTTTAGCAGCAAGTTAATAAGGCTATTATAAGCTCCTGAGCTGGTAAAAAAAAAAAAAAAAAATATTTACTTTACCAGAAGGTTTACAAGAATCTAGTAAAAGGCATCTTCAATATTCACTTGAAGGCAACGTATCATAAAAGTCTACTGTTTTGGGTCACATTGGCCATGGTTGGTGGAGCGAAAAAACTTCTCTCCAAACAGAGCTGTTAATAATATCTTAAACCAAGTATGGCTCTTTTCAGCCCCGCTTCACACCGCTTCAACATGTGGAGAAATCCAAAGCTTAATGGTCCTGTATGCCAAGTTATGGTTGCTAAAGCTATGATTGGACAATTTCCACTTTTGTCCAAACCACTTTAAATGGCTCTTTATCAAGAACTCAGCTCACTCTTCACTGTGACACTTATGGCTGTATTCATACAATCAACTTCTTCTCTGCTCATGTTTTTAACCAGTTTTTTTCATGTTCAAGTCCATAGTTCCCAGTAGATGGCTGGTGAAAAAAAAAAAGAAGAAAAATCAGAATATTCTTGATGAATAGATTTATTTGAGTGGTAATCTTCCTTCTGGCCCAGTTATTGAAAGTGAGAGGATTTAACATTTGAGCAGGGCCTAGTATTGTTTTCAATCAAACATGTTATTTTTTTAATCAGTTTTACCATGCAGCTGCTTGAGAGCTGCAACTAGTGACTCCGCTTTTAAAAAGACCAATAGCCTACAAATTCCTCTTTCTCTGCTTTTTATGGTGAATCCACATTGTGTGAGAAAGCTCCTTCCACTGCGAATGCAAAAAGAGAAGCCGCAAACCAGACTGCAGCCCTACCTCTCTGTATCCATACAAACACTGTGTGTCACCTGCATTGACCATGATGTCCAGACTTCTACCTAGCCTGCTTTTCGGTGAGTAACCCAGATTCTCAAGCATTTGTTGTATTATTGTTTATTTAATAAATCAAGATAATAAGAGTGTAACAGAGTCAATCTATCTCAGCTGAGAGGTCAGAGCTCAGAGTGTATGTTGCAGGTCTGACCCAGAGGTGCAGAAACAGTCCTTTTGTAATTTCGAGAATACATGTTCATAATCATCTCAGCCTTAAGCTCAGGAAGAGAGAAAGATAATCACAGCTGTACAGGTGTACGGAGAAGAAAAAATATATTGGTTCATAATAAAGTGCACAACACATGATTATGGGAAAATGTTACAATCCCCCCATTATATAATCACTTAAGTATATACAAAATGGATCATTACATCAGTGAATGCACCCATTGTACTGTTTGAGGAAACACTTCATTAATTAAACTAGCGTTAGCTGTTTTTGTAGAGCAGACATTTGAAGTGAAGGCACTAACTGGGGGAACATAATACTAAAAGTGGAGCTATCTGCGGACATTGTCAGGTCTGTGAGGCTGTAAAACATCATAATGCAAGTCATACAGTTCCTGTGGAGCTAGTTCACACCAATCATAATGGGTATCAGTCATATCTAAACTTGAGATGTTTAATCAAAAATTCTGTAGTTTTTCAAACCAAAGTGAAACATCAGGAGGTTTAACACAAAACATCAATTTATTTGGGAGAATTATGGTTCATGGCTGTAACTGACAATTTCCATTACAGATTAATCTATTGATCATTTTCTCGAATCAATTAGTTGGTTGGCCCACAGATTGTAAGAAAATGGTGAAAAATGTTCACTGATGTTTCCCAAATTCTCAAATGTCGTGTTTGGTCCCAAAGATACAGAGATTACTGTCAAAGAGGACTACAGAAACCAGAAAATATTAAATAAATAAATAAATTAGAGATTTTTTAAAACAGTTAATCAAAATGCATACAAATATAATAGTTGACAACTAATCTATTTGACTAATCAAGTTGTTGCAGCACAATTGTAGTCCAACAATACAACAGGCTTGAAGGATTGCAAACATACACCTCACATTGCTATAAGGATGTGAAATAGATGACATCTCAACAGTAGAGATACACAATGACCAACCAACAATCACATGGACTCACATTCTGTTTCCACTTAAAAACATAACATCCACAAACATATTATTTGTACCTACTAAGAACTTCTACTTTATAGTAAGACCAGAAACACACAGGAGGCAGGAGTGCCTGCTTCCTTTCTGTGCCCATGTTAACCAATTGGTTTGATCAGACAGAGCACACTGCGGAGCTCGGCTTACAAAACACTCTGATAATCTATTATAAACAATATGAAAGGATATAATTAAGTGATCTGATTGTGACACACGCGTCCCATGTTTACCAAACATTTTATTTCCCCCGCCCTTCTCCCCACTCTCCTCCTTGACCTTTGATTCCCAGTTTCCCCCCCACATGATGAAATATAAAATGCCAATCCACTGTATTTATTAGAAACAATATCACTGCTCCACTATAATTGCAAACGTATTCCACTGTAAGTTGTGTCTAAGTTTAAGTTTCTGGCTAAGTTTCTGGCCTCCTTTTTATCATCATGTCTCTTCTTGATCTCAGATAACACCTTAAGGGTGCCACATTGAAATCTGGAAAACAATAAAGGGATATTACTAAAGGAAACTTTACTCAAAGCTATTTTTTAGAAAAGTTTGACTGTTAACATACCACGGGCAAGCTCAGCACTGCTCCCTCACCACATCAAGGAAGGTGGGAGCAAATAAAGGATATCACAGCTCTGAAATTCAACATGTTTACAGGAGCAATCCATTACTTGCTTTTGAGAACTAGAGATCTACAAATAAATAAGCTATTCAGAACGATAATTAATGTTATCTAATAAAAATAATAAATGTTTCTGAAACAAAAATACTGATACCCAATACACAGTTAAGTAGCTGAGTTTGATCATCATATGAGTAAAGCACTTTAGTCAGACAGTAGGGAGCATCAATAGTCACTGAACATCTTTCAGGACCTGAAATATTGCAACATGGTAATGTTATACAATTCCTTACCATGACTTCCATGCACTCAACCTAATAAAAAAACAAAAAAACATTTGATAGTCTAAATAAACATGCAAAGTAAACTTTCAAATTCACTACAAATAAGTGGATGGTTTGAAATAGAAGGTGAGCGTTGTGTGAGTTCTCTCTGGTCTGTTTCTCCTCTCCGCCACTTACTTTCTCTCTCCAAAGCACATTGTGCGACAGCAATAATCATCCGTGCAAAACACAGTGCGTTATATAGACTAAACAAAGTTATTTTTATTTTTAGTAATCTAATTACTCTAGTAACTCGAGGAATCGTTCAGCCCTAATACAATTGGACAGACACTATAAAACGTAACCTATTAGTCAAATATAAGAAAACTTAATTGTAAGACTTGAGCACAGTGTGAGTTTGTAACGTTATATCAAGCCTACAGGCGCTTTATTTCAGTACGTGTAACGCTAACGTTATACTGGAAAATGCAGCAGCAGGAAGATGATGGGTTAGCAGTACCTTCAATAGCTCTGAAACGACAGACAGAGATCGGTTACCTTCCTGTAAAATACGCCTGATATCTCAAAGTAACGTTAAAGTAAACACAGACATATAAAACAGAGCTTTCTCTGTAGTCACCATGGCAGGGCAGTCCGTTGTTGAACTGCCGGTAAACAGCATTGCCTGCAGAGAGCAACGGAACTAAACGTCCATAGACTGAATATAAAGTTATAGTTAAAAAATACCAAAAATAGAAGATGTATTACAAATATAAAATACAATCACACTCAATATGATAATTCTACAAAAAAATATAAAAGTGAATAAATATTATCCTCAAAATTATTGATAATTATTGAATTATTCTGTCTTAGACGTTAAGTGGCATGCACATTGCAGTATAAAGTATTTTAATCTTTAACGTTTGGGTTTTACGGCATCTGGTGTCACCTTTTGGATGTTAACGATATTTTAATCCTAATTCACTTAATTTTTTATGATTAAAACATTAATATTTTGTGCAGATAAGAGACACAATTACATGTTCTTCATTAGAAAACAATATTTTAACTTAACAAATACATATATTTTAAATAAAGTGAAAATAAATGTATATAAAGTGCACAACCTGCACCACAGGTCAGTTCATCAACATAAATTTGTTGACCCTCAGCTGCACTCACAAGCCGTCTCCACACTGTGTAACCCACACCCACCTCCACATTATCTTTTTTGCGTTTAATAAACATGTTTCCCATTCATCTTTACTTATTGTGGTCCCAAAATCTAATTCCCAGGAACATCTACTGGTGTTGGTATCCATCTTCCCTCCTTTCACAATTTCCAAAATAACTCAATGTCTAAGGTACAGGACCAGTCATTTTTCCGGAGAGCAAATCTCCAAGTATCTAAAGAATTGGGCTTGCTCTAATCCATATTCTGTCCTCAACTGAGAGAATGATTTCATTGCCAAACAATACCTTTATTTTAATCATGTTATTATAATTATTATTATTATTATATTAGTTATGCCATATATCATTTGAGAAGAGTAGGCCTCTTTAATTTATAGAAAGCTGCAGTTTAACTAATTTGGATCTTTGTTATCCCATATGAACTTACATACATACACATTTCTAAAAGGTTTATTGGGAGATCTGTTGGCAACATCTGAATGGGATGCAATATCCTCGGTAATACATTAATTTTAATCAATGCAATCCTTCCCATCATAGCAAGACGAAGCACAGGCCATCTTTGCAAGTAATTTTTGATCTTTGCTATAATTGGGACTATATTACATTTTGTTAATTGCTTCAGCTCATGTGGGATGAACAGTTTCCTGGTGTTTTAGCACTGATTGAATTGCCTGTATGCTTATTACCATTGTAGGCTAAATGTTTTAGCCATACAATGGTGTCAGAGTTGCATGCTTCTTGTGATGGGCTACAGATCATATTGGAGAAATGAGTGGCATCAGGCGAATTAATGATAAAGTAGTGTGAAACTTGCACGCAGATGCATTTACTGCTTGTAGGTCTTGACTGGTCGTTGTTGACCTTCGTCACAGATTTTTGTCACAGAGAAAATGGGCATGTTGACAGGAGAATCATCACAGAAAACAATGACTCCAGCCTGTAACAATGAATCCAAGACAGGTTTAATACCTTTGAGTGCTTCTTGTGGTTATTGCTATAGGAGCGGAATTCAGATTTCTGCAAACCACCAAAGGTGTGGCACACTTTATCAGGCCAACGTCATATTTATGACAAAGGCATAATTCAGATGACTTTTGAGGTATGTGTACTGTGTGTATGTGCAGATGTGGTAAGTTGTGACGCTATAGAAGAGAAAGAAAATAAGTATCCATCATTGTGTCAGGGCAGTATTTCACATGTGTGTTCACAGGCAGCCTGGTTAGTTTTAACCCATCTGGATGTGAAGTCAAGACAATGCCAAAGTGACACGTTAGATCTCTTTTCATTAAATTGATGGAATGGTGCTCTGATAGAAGAAATTAGTGGTTTGTCATGGTCTCCTCAAGTGTGCATGATAAGCGAGTAGTGTATGGCTCTAGAACTGGAAGGCCACCAGCACCTACTGTTCTGCAATGTCTCCCACTCCTTTTCGGAGGTTGAGGTAGTGCTGATGCTTTTAGGAGTGATATTGTAGCCCCTGAGCCCACTAAAAAGTACAACATAGTGACCTGCTATATTTAAAACTAGGAACAAGTTCCTAAACCCCTCATGGCCATCATTATACAAGGCAAGCATCGGCTGTGCAGGTTTAGTGGGATTAACTTCAGCTTCAACGTGTTTTATAGCAAACATTACTTTATCATAATCAGTTTGAGGTGCCTACTCACCCAGTGTAAGTTCTTTCCCTCAGTTCCAGGATCGAAGCTGTGATCAGGGCCCCATATGAGGACAGCTTCTCACCCATAGGGAGGAATCCTTCTATGTAAGCCGGCTTCTGTTCTCCAACGGAGTCCAGATCACTAGTCCGATCCATCCTTATCGCCAAGTTTGTGGTGGAAGTTGTGTTTTTTCCTCACAGAGAAATGAACAAATAAATGATAATACAACAAACAGTTGTCTTTTGTCTCTTTAATACAGCAGGCTAATAAAAGAGTAACAGAGTCAAAGGGGCCCAGGGGCCCAGGGGACTGAAGATAGAAAACATAATATAACAAAGTTGTACTATGAGAATGTGCCTCATGCATCATTGATATATACATGTAAAAAAGGACAATGTGTGCTTCAACACATTTCTGCTTATGTAATGAGTCTTTTTTCTCTCCTACAGTCTTTCTTCTCTTGACCTCACCCTCACATACTGCAGGTCAGTCCATTCTCCTCTGCAATCCTTGCAATTTCTTTAGTTTTCCATGTATGTTATGTGCAAAGTATAAAAATATTCCATTGCTTCCATGCCTGATAGGTGTGCAGATCAGATTACCTGGGTCTGGGTCTACTCAGTGCAAAGACAAGACCTTTTGTCTTCACCAAGTAACAATCCTAAGAAACTGGCATCTAAATTGTCAATTAAAAGTTCTCCCTAACATATTTCACTATTTTATATTCTCCAAAAACTCCTAAATACAATAAAAACAGTTAGCTGGCTGGCTAAATTCACCCTGCATGGGTTAACATTGCTGTAGTGCTCATTATGTTCATAGACACACGTCTACCTCTGTGTACCTCTCCAATAGGTGTGCAGATCAGATTAGCTGGGTCTGGGTCTACTCGATGCTCTGGAAGAGTTGAAGTCTATTACAACGATACCTGGGGAACAGTCTGTGATGATGACTGGGACTTCAATAATGCTAAGGTGGTGTGCAGACAGTTGGGCTGTGATACGGCACCAAGTGCCCCTCAGTCAGCACACTTTGGTGAAGGAACCGGACCAATCTGGCTTGATAATGTGGACTGTTCAGGAAGTGAAAGGTCTCTAAGTGAGTGTCAGCATGGAGGATTTGGAAGACATGACTGTGGACACAATGAGGACGCTGGTGTGGTCTGTTCAGGTGAGATTTGTGAGAGTGACATTTATTTTATAAGATTTTGCTGATTAAGCTAGCCATAGAGGCTTAAAGAGAAGGGGGCCTGATAATGGCAGTAAGTATATGGCAACTAATTCACCTGAAAATTGTTTAGTAATATGCACCCCTATAGCATGGAACCCCTTCGGGACAAGAAGGGGCAGAGAAAATATATAGGTGGGAAAAAAATGTAAAGTTAAAACTCAATGGTCAAAAAACTACCTGGTCATTGCATCACAAGTTTGGGAAACTGTCCAACCTAAGCAATGAAGGGGTTCATGGAGTTTTATTTAGATTTTTGGCTCAGAATATAAAGAAATTAAGAAACCGGAAAAGATACTCAAACTTGGCAGACCTAGCTAGTAGGGGTGAGCAATTAAACCATTGTCTGTTTATTGGAGGCTGAGCCCACTGATTATTGTACAAAACACACAGGTCTTATAAATCTATTCACAGATTATTAACAGAAAACATACGCAAGCATAGCAGACCTAGCTTAATTTAATTTGTGACCAACTGCAGTATTCCAAACAACTTCAGTTACCAATAAATGTGTGCCAAATGGAGAAATCAACTAGTGAGGTCCGCCAAACTTGAGTATGTTTTCCGTCGAGAATATCCCCTTGCTTGAAATAGCCTATTCAGCTGTCTTTCACTTATTTGAAAATCATGCCTAGAACTGACCACTAACGTAATGTCTCATATTTGAGGCCAAGATCAAACTCTATGAACCTCTGCAAAGCTTTGGTTTGCTCTTTCCCAAACAGCAAAACACGTGACCTGGAAATGTTTTGACCCCAGGGTTTTGCCTGGGAATACTGTTTTACACTGGGGATATGCAAAATATTTGTGAACTAGTACAAATTAGTTTTTTTGTTTTTTACCCATGTCCTTAGTTGATTCTGAATCGCAAACAGAGCCAGTGAAGGGAGGCCAGAAGTAAACGCTATTTCAAGAACACGTTGAAGCATTTTCTTAACTCCAGGAGATAGAGAAATGCACTTGCCTAAATAAAGACAATAGCAGTAGTCTGAATGAGAGATCTAAGCATGTAAATAGTTTCAGTCTGTTGCATTCACGTAACTATAGTGCTCATTATGTTCATCGCCACATGTCTACCTCTGTCTACCTCTCCATTAGGTCTGCAGATCAGATTAGCTGGGTCTGGGTCGACTCAGTGCTCTGGAAGAGTTGAAATCTATTACAATGATACCTGGGGAACAGTCTGTGGTGACAGCTGGGACTTAAATGATGCTGACGTGGTTTGCAGAGAGTTGGGCTGTAATACAACACAGGATGCCCCTCAGTCAGCCCACTTTGGTCAAGGAAGTGGACAAATCTGGCTTCATAATGTGGGCTGTTCAGGAGGTGAAAGGTCTATAAGTGAGTGTCTGAATGGAGGATTTGGGACACACAACTGTGGAAACAGTCAGGACGCTACTGTGGACTGTTTAGGTAAGAAGACAGTATTTTTGGATAAGGTTTTGCTGATTCAGCTAGCCTTGGATGCTTAAAGTTGAGGGGCCCTGACACTGGCAGTTAGTATATGGTCATTAGGTAAACTCAAATTGTTTGGATATATGCATCACTAAAGTCCAAAGACCCTTGGAGGACATAGGGCAGAAAAAACTTGAAACAAAATATGAGTGGAGGTAAAAAAATACAAAAATAAATAAACAGAGAAACTGTTGCATCTCCCAAGATAAATATTTTGAGTGGAACACAGTACTTCCAGTAAAAACCCAATGGTCAAAAAGTTTTCAGGTCATTGCATTACACATCGTTTAAAAAACAATAAACCCAGAGCAATTGAGAGGTTCATGCTATCACACCATTGTCTTTCTCTATATGTCTCTTTCTTGGGACTGAGCCTCACTGATTACTGTACAAAAACACACAGGTCTTACATTATTAATTATTCACAGATTATTAATTGAAAAGATACTCTAGCCTAGCGTACCTAGTTAATTTAATTCGCGACCAACTGCAGTATTCCGGACAACTTCAGTCCAAATGGAAGTCCCTAGTGAGGTCTGCCAAACTTGAGTATTTTTTCAATCAAGAATCTTATTCGCTGAGCACTGATGTAATGTCTCCATATTTGAGGCCAAGGTCAAAACTCTGTGAACCTCTGCATAGCTTTGGTTTTCTCTTTCCCAAACAGCAACACGTGTGAAGAAATTACCTGGAAATGTTTCAACCTCTGGTTTTACCTGGAAATACTTTTTTTTTTACATTGGGGGAATGCAAAAGTTTTGCAGGGTTACACTTGGGATATGCAAAATATTTGTGAGCTAGTACAAATTTGTTTTTGTTTTTTCCACTCATGTCCTTAGTTGATTCTGAAGCTCAAACCGAACCAGTGAAGGGAGGCCAGAGGTAATCTCTATTTCAATAACTAGTTGAAGCATTTTGTTAACTCCATTAAATGGAGGAATGCACTTAGTCTAAATGAGAGGAGATAAAGGCATAGAAATAGTTTCAACCTGTTGGGTTAACATGTTGTTAAGCACACTAGCTGTAGTACTCATTATGTTCATTGTCACATGTTCATAGACCTTTGTCTACCTCTCCAGTAGGTGCACAAATCAGATTAACTGGGTCTGGGTCTACTCAGTGCTCTGGAAGAGTTGAAATCTATTACAATGATACCTGGGGAACAGTGTGTGATGACAGCTGGGACTTAAATGATGCTAAAGTGGTCTGCAGAGAGTTGCGCTGTGGTATGGCACTGGGTGCCCCTAAGTCTGCCCACTTTGGTCAAGGATCCGGACCAATCTGGCTTGATGATGTGGACTGTTCAGCAAGTGAGAGGTTTCTAAGTGACTGTCAACACAGAGGATTTGGGACACACAACTGTAGACACAGTCAGGACGCTGGTGTGGTCTGTTCAGGTGAGAGGACATTTTTTATCACTCATCTTTAAATGCAGTAATTATGTTAAAATCCACCAGTTTCCTGCATGCAAAACACCTGACTTGGGGATAAAATGTAAGTTCAATAAGAGAAATGAGGACTCATTTAAAGACTTGATGGAGAAGGTTTTATGGGAGGACGTGCACAGCCAATCTTGATGCTGAATTAGCTTATCTCCCATTCATGAATGTATTGACATCCCTTTCTGACAAATGCTTTCTGCTTGTTCAAATTAACAGGAAATGTAGCCAAAAAGCTAAAAACCATGGATTACTTATTTAGTCTATTTAGTATTAAATTTTCTAAAAATTATCATTTCACAAAATTACTGCAGAAAGAAAGAACTGCAAAAAAAATAATAAAAATAAATACGGAGAATGAGCCGACTAGTTTAAAGTTTATGGTCTCAATTGTTAGTTTCACACCTTCTACAATACATGATGTCCATTTTGTAAATGATAGTCCAATTTAGAGTAAAATAGACAATAAAGCCACGTATGCTTTTGAGCAGGGCTACCTCTTCAGTCAGTCCAGTTCAGCGCACAAAACTCAGATCAAACCATCAAACTGGCCAGTGCTGATCCAATTCGAAGCAGTATTCTGTTACTGCGTTGACTAATTCTTGTAAACTGTTTCAGAAACATATTCTTGCATACTGTTTAGCTTTTATACAAGATTGTGTGTGACCAGGCAAACCACCATTGTTTTCAGCTAAGGACGAGTCAAAACTGGGCAGCCAATGAGTGTAGATCAACTTGCAGTCCGTCACGTCCGATGGCTCACAATGGCACTGTCTAACCAATTGGTGACATCAAGATAGGTTCACACTTGGTAAATTAGCAGGCTAAATTCACAATTTCCCTTTCAGTCCATTTCTGGTTTAAGCCCCAACCATTCTGAGTACAAATACAAATACAGATAATTTAGTTGGTTTAGCAGATACAGATAATGGTGTACTCACTCATCCCTAATGTCACTCTAACATTGTGATATATTTTCAGTGAGTCTCCCCAAGCCCAGCATCTCCATGAATCCTGCTGGTGAGGTTACCTGGGGTCAGGACATTGGCATTACTTGTTCAATCCCAATTCAGCATTCAGTTGGAACTTTTATCCTGCAGAAGACCTCAGGCTCTTTCAGAAAGACCAAAACATCAAATACCAACGCTGCTACCTTCAGAATCACCAAAATCAAGTTTGGTAATGAGGGAGCGTACCAGTGTCAGTATCAGACACAGGTTTCAACTCAAGTCTTCAGCTCCCCCTTAAGTGACTCTGTCAGACTCTCTGTTACTGGTAAGTACGGGGGCAAGGAAAAACTGCCTTCTAAGAAGCAGAAATCTAGGACAGACCCTTCGGCTCTAGGTGGGTGGTCGTCTGCCTCGACCACCAGGGTGCTCAGGTGGTCAGAGTGTTATGGCTGATCAGTGTATATTTAGCGAGTACTCAACTGAAAGTATCCAGTACAGATAATGTACTTTTTACAAGTAAGAGTATCATCATACAATTGTGTAAATATCCATACTCATGAATATAGCAACTTTAAAAAAAATTATCTATTCTGTAAATATTTTTCTTCTACTCTTGACCAAAAATACACAGAGGCTGTTCTGTAAATAGTTCTCGAATAGGTATAGCAGCTTATGATCAACCCATATGAATTTCAGGCTTACATTAACAACTTCTGGCTATTCCCACCAGCTTTCTATTGAAGCACCACCCACATTCGGTTCAAGCACCAGCCATACCGAGTATAAATACAAACACAGATAAGTTGATAAGATAAGATTCAGTTGGTTGAACCGACACAAACAATCGGGTACTTGCTCATCTCTAATTTTGCTCTAACATTATGATATTTTTTCAGTTCGCCTCCCGAAGCCCAGTATCTCCGTAAATCCTGTTGTTGAGGTTACTTTGGGCCCGAATGTTGGCATCACTTGTTCAATCTCAACTCAGCAGTCAGGTGGAACATTCATCCTGCTGAAGACCTCAGGCTCATTCCGAAAGACCCAAACATCTAGTACCAACTCTGCTACCTTCAGCATCTTCAAAGTCAAGTTTGATAATGAGGGATTGTACCAGTGTCAGTATCAGACACAGGTTTCATGTCGAGACTTCATCTCCCCCTTAAGTGATCCTGTCAGGCTCTCTATTAATGGTAAGGAAAAGCAAAAAGTCCCAATCTTGATTTTCTTTCATAACTTGTACTAAACTATATAGAAATTACAAGTTAAAATGAAGAGATGCATCTTGGGTCAAAGGCAGTATATATTGAATGAGTTCTCAGCTGAAATGAGTATCTGATACAGATATTGTCCTTTTACCAGTACAAGTATCATCAAAGTAAAATGTGTCAATGTGCACTTGTAAATATAGCAACTTTTATAATACCAAAACTTGTTACTATTTTTCTTACCCAAATTACCAAAAACATTACTCTAAAGCTCAATGCGGAGGCTGTTCTGTAAATTGTTTTGCTATGACCAGAGCAACTTCTGAACAACCCATATCAATCTCAGGCTTAAATGAATAACTTCCGGTTGAAGCACCACCCGTTCCAAGTATGAATACAAATACAGTTTATTCAGTTGGTTTAGTAGGTACAGATTATGGTGTACTCACTAACCCCTAATGTTATATTATGATATTTTTCCAGTGAGCCTCCCAAAGCCCAGCATCTCTATGAATCCTGCTGGTGAGGTTACCTTGGGTCAGGATGTTGGCATCACTTGTTCAATCGCAACTCAGCAGTCAGGTGGAACATTCATCCTGCAGAAGACCTCAGGCTCATTCAAAAAGACCCAAATATCAAGTACCAACTCTGCTACCTTCAGCATCATCAAAGTCAACTTGGATAACAAGGGAGCGTACCGGTGTCAGTATCAGATACAGGTTTCAAGTCAAGTCTTCAGCTCTCCTTTAAGTGACTCTCTCAGACTCTCTGTGTCTGGTAAGGAAAAATAAATGTCCCAATCTTGATATTTTTTTAACTTGTACTAAACTATATAGAAAGTACAAGTTGAAATGAAGAGATGCACCTTGGCTTAAAGGCAGTATATATTGAATGAGTACTCAGCTGAAATTAGTATTTGGTACAGATAATATACTTTTTACCAGTACAAGTATCATCAAACTAAAATGTGTCAGTATCCACAATTGTTTATATAGGAACTTTTATAATACAAAAACTTGTTACTATTTTTCTTACCCAAATCACCAAAAACATTACTCTAAAGCTCAATTCGGAGGCTGTTCTGTAAATAGTTTTCCTATTAACAGAGCAACCTCTGATCAACCCTCATCAATCTCAGGCTTAAATTAACATCTTCTGGTTTAAGCACCACACGTTCCAAGTATGAATACAAATACAGTTTATTCAGTTGGTTTAGCAGGTACAGATTATGGTGTACTAACTCATCCCTAATGTCACATTATGATATTTTTTCAGTGAGCCTCCCAAAGCCCAGCATCTCCATGAATCCTGCTGGTGAAATTACCCTGGGTCAGGATGTTGGCATCACTTGTTCAATCTCAACTCAGCAGTCAGGTGGAACATTCATCCTGCTGAAGACCTTGGTCTCTTTCAGAAAGACCCAAACGTCAAGTACCAACTCTTCTACCTTCAGCATTTTCAAAGTCAACTTTGATAACGAGGGATCGTACCAGTGTCAGTATCAGACACAGGTTTCAACTCAAGTCTTCAGCTCCCCCTTAAGTGACTCTATCAGACTCTCTGTTACTGGTAAGGAAAAATATTTGTCCCAATCTTGATATTTTTTTTCTTAACTTATACTGAACTATATAGAAAATAAAAGTAAAAATTATAGCCGCAAGCAGCGATAAACAGGCCCTTGTATCTGTGGACTTCAGGGTGTGCTGCAGTCAGGTTACACACCCCTACATCATGTGATTACCAAGACATGGAAATTTCATGTAAATCACATAACAATTGCCATACAAGGCTTACTTCTTATTGCCAGCAGGTGGCACTATGACAGTGACTGAATGTTGGCACTTAGATCCGTTCAGGCCAGGGCTCTTACCAAACTTGTGTTGGTTGGGGCCAAATGGAGAAGCTATTCTGAAGTTAGGTTTAGCACTAGGGTTAAGGTTAGGATTTTGTTTTGGTTTAGGGGCAGACAGTAGGAGGCGCTATGACAATGAGCATCTATTGGCATGTAGATGTGTTCATGCATATAAGAAATACATAACAAATACGTAAAGTTTAAGGCTGATTGCAGGATCAATACTGAACTAAGAGTTACGGTTAAGGTTTCCTTTGTCATAGCAAAAAGCAGATTTTTGTTGGCATGCCACAGACACATCAAATGTCAAGATTTTGATAACCATTCATCTTGAACTTCTTTAGAATGTACTCACCAATTTTTAAGTCTTTCTGATAAATTCCCAAGGAGGAGTTCGTTAAAATAGAAGCCCTGAAATTGGCAGAAATTGTGCCAAAATGTTACAATAAATAAAAAATGGCCAACTTCCTGTTGGATTTAGGATATGGAGGATAAGAGACTTTTTTATACATCTTGACATGATACATACAGTAGATCTACTGATTTTCATACATACTGGTAAAACTGGATGCCAGGGCTGTTTTTTTGAAGGTTTATATGGGCCCTGTTGAGCCATTTTGACATACCCACGTGCAAGACCCAGATAAAATGTAAAATGCTGGCATTTGGGAATTGTGTGCCAAGTGTCATCTGTTTTTGAGCATGTTTAGTCTCCCCAAAATGTGATCAAATGTTAAAACAAACTTTTATATTTGCAGCGTTGCTATGGCAACATAAGATTCATAAGATGTCATTGTCAACATCAAAAGTAATTTCTTGCTAAGATATTGTTATGAAGATATGTTCAAGGCGAGACTCTGATCAGACATTTGAAGTTTGGTGCAGATTAGACAAACTATACTGAAGTTATGACAACTTCCTCTTTTATGGTAAAACCTAAACATTTTGTCACCACACCACAAACACGCCTTTTGGTAAAAACTCAAGACTTGATAACTGGATGGTCTTTAGACTGCACTGACCACATTTCACGCTGATCCAATAAATACACTAAGAGGAGAAGTTGAAATACAGCATGTGCAAATCCAAACACTCCAAAGTGTTTAATTCAAAATGGCCCATTTCCTGTTGGGTTTGGGATAATGATATGGCTTTTTTGTACATCTGGACATGATCTATATGTGTACCCAAAGAATTCCAGAATTTTTGCCACGACTGACATGTTTCATGAGATTTGGAGCATGTTGCAGCCTCCAAAGATGCCATTTGGCAATCAAGAATAAATAATAATTAAAGCTGCAAGCAGCGATGAACGGGATCTCGCAACCGGCGCGCGTCGGGGCGTGCTGCGGCACCGTCACGTGCCGTCGTAACAAGCGCGTACCACAACATGAAAATGTCACGTAAATCAGCTCAAATCGCCCTGCAGCACTTACTTCCTGTTGCCACTAGGTGGCGCTCTGACTATTACTGAATATTATCACATAGACGTGTTCAGGGCGGGACTCTTATCAAACATGTGAAGTTTCGTTGCAGTCGGATCATGTACGCAGAAGTTATTACGAATCCCTCTTTTTATGGCGAAGGATCGAAATTGCACGCCAGGGGACGCCACGCCACATCCACGAAGTTTAACGGAATAACGTAAATAGCACAACTTTTAATACTGAATGTGTTTAGATGGCTGTGTCCAAATCTGAAGTCGGCCCGATAAATGCCCTAGGAGGAGTTCGTTCAAATACAACGTGTGCAAATCGCCAAAAATGGCCACAAAATCCAAAATGGCCGACTTCCTGTTGGGTTTGAGGTATGGGTCCTTGAGGCTTTTCTCCTTCTTTTATCATCATACACATGCGTACCAATTTTCGTACATGTCGGCCTTACGTGTCTTGGGGGCTGATTCTGGGGGGCGTGGCTTAGGAGTAGAACATGAAAGTATAAAACGTGATACTTCCTGTTGCCACTAGGTGGTGCTATCACTATGTCTGAATATTGTCATGTAGATGTGTTCAGGGCGGGACTCTTATCAGACAAGTGAAGTTTGGAGCCGTTTGGACAATGTACACTCAAGTTATAGCGAATTTGTGTTTTGTGGTGGTACATCAAAAGTTCCCGCCACGCCACAGACACGCCCCCTCACCACATTCATCACATATCATCAACAATGTGTTTTGCATTTCATAAGTAAATTTCAGCTGGATCTGATCATCCTGCTAGGTGTAGAACATGAAAGTATAAAAAAATCACATCTCACTTTTACTGAATATTATCACATAGACGTGTTCAGGGTGGGACTCTTATCAAACATGAAGTTTCATTGAGATCGGATCAGGTCAAGTTATGACGAATCCCTCTTTCATGGCGAAGGTTTGAAATTGGATGCCACGGGACGCCACGGGCACAATGTTCCACGAAAAAAACTGACTGCACTGACTAATTTTGAAGTAGATCCAATAAAACCTGTAGGAGGAGTTAGTTAAAATAGAAGCCCTGAAATGCCAAAAATGAAATCACAGTTTAACATTCGTTCAAAATGGCCAACTTTGACGGCACGCCACGGACACGCCCTTCAACGTACAGTCACAAATCGCACAACTTGTAATTAGCAACATTATTCAAGAGTACTGTCAAGTTTTGAAGCAGATCTGATAAATTCCCTAGGAGTTTGTTCAAATACAAGACCACGGACTTCAAAATGGCCAACTTTGACGGCACGCCACGGACACACCCTTCAACGTACAGTCAAAAAATGAACAGCGTTTATTCAGCACCATGTTTTGACTGCACTGACCAATTTTGAAGTAGATCCAATAAAACCTGTAGGAGGAGTTAGTTAAAATAGAAGCCCTGAAATGCCAAAAATGACATCACAGTGTGACATTCGTTCAAAATGGCCAACTTTGACGGCACGCCACGGACACGCCCTTCAATGTACAGTGAACAAATGAACAGCGTTCATTCAGCACCATTTTGTGACTGTACTGACCAATTTTGAAGCAGATCCCAGAAATTCCCTAGGACGAGTTTGTTCAAATGCAAGGCAAAAATTCACCGAAAATGACCATGGACTTAAAAATGGCCAACTTTGACGGCACGCCACGGACACGCCCTTTAACGTACAGTTACAAATTGAACAGCGTTCATTCAGCACCATTTTGTGACTGCACTGACCAATTTTGAAGCAGATCCCAGAAATTCCCTAGGAGGAGGAGTTCAAATACAAGCCCAAGAAGTCAAAATGACCACAAAATGGACGCCGTGAGTGAAAATTAAATATCGAAATTGCAGACTTCCTGTGGGTTTTGGGGCATGGGTCCAAGAGGCTTTTCTGCTTCTTTTATCATGATACACATGCGTAGCAATTTTCGTGCATGTGGGCCTTACATGTCTTGGGGGCTGATTTTGGGGGGTGTGGCTTAGACGTTTTGCGGCACCCGTGCACGGGGACAATGTCATATCGGTATTTTTGCTACTTTTGAATTTTGTGCAAATTTTCATGTCATTTTGAGCATGTTGCGGGGGCCAAATATGCGGTCGAAGTCCCAGAAAAATAATAATAATTCCTTGAGGAACAATAGGGTCTTGCACTTTCAGTGCTCGATCCCTAATAATTCCTTCAAATACAATAGAGTCTTCGCACTAGTTGGTGCTCGGACCCTTATAAAGAGATGCACCTTGGCTCTAAGGCAGTATATATTGAATGAGTACTCAGCTAAAATGAGTATCCGGTACAGATAATGTACTTTTTCCGAGTACAAGTATCATCAAAGTAAAATATGTCAGTATCCACACTTATAAATATAGCAACTTTTATTATACAAAAACAAGTTAATATTTGTCTTACCCGAGTGACGGAAAATATCGCTCTGAAGCTCAATTCGGAGGCTGTTTTCTAAATACTTTTCTAATAAGTACAGCAAACTCTGTTCATCCCCTATTAATCTCAGGCTTAAATTAGAAACTTCCGGTACAAGCACCAGCCATTCCAAGTACAGATACAAAGACAGATAATTCAGTTTGTTGAACAGAGACAAATAATTGTGTACTTGCTCATCTTTAATGTTGCTCTAACATTATGATATTTTTTCAGTTCGCCTCCCCAAGCCCAGCATCTCCATGAATCCTGCTGGTGAGGATGTTGGCATTACTTGTTCAATCTCAACTCAGCATTTAGGTGGAACATTCATCCTGCAGAAGACCTCAGCCTCATTCAGAAGGACCCAAACATCATGTAACAACTCTACTACCTTTAGCATCCCTAAAGCCAACTTTGACAATGAGGGAGCGTACCAGTGTCAGTATCAGACACAGATTTCAGGTCGAGACTTCAGCTCCCCTTTAAGTGACTCTGTCAGACTCTCTGTTAATGGTAAGGAAAAAATCTTTAAATTAATATCTTTGACATATTTGAACTATGATGAGGTGTGGAAGGAAGAAAGTTAATGCTGAGATTTTAATCCATCCATCTATCACAGGCAAATGTTAACAAATCAGATCAACAAACCATATAACTTAGTCAAACTCTCGCCCAAGCCAGTCAGCAGAAGAGCAAAAATATCTTTTCCATCAGGAAAAGCCTTCAGTGCCATTTTTTGCTCTTCTTTCCGACTTCTTTGGCAGCTGCCATTGTTGTTTTTGAGAGAGTCAGCCACTTTTTGTTACTTAAACCAAAACTGTGTTTCGCATGTTTATTTACTTACTACCAAGCATGGTATGTATGGTATATCATAACAATCATATTCAGGTAGGAAATACACGTTATTCTATGAAGAATCAGACATGTTTTAAGGAAAAATTGTTTCTCCTAAATTCTCTCCTAGTGCCTTTGTTGCTGTTGGTCTCCTCAGTAGTTGCTGGGATTCTGCTGGGGGTTTTGCTGGTCTTGGTGGTGGTCTTTCTCAGGAGAAGACAACAAGCCAGGCAGCCTGGAGCCATCGTCCTAAGTCTGTTCACCAGTACACACATGACATAAGACTTTATAAACTGTGTTGTTTTACCTTTTTTCAAGACATACGTCCTTCTATGTGGTTGCCTTTCAGAGTGTGCGAGTAACAGTATGTTTTAGAGAACTGATTCTAATATTCATGACACATTCTGTTCCCATACTTGTGTTTCAGTGTCTGTCAGGAACCATTATGAAGACTTGGAGGAGGAGGAGGAAGAGCGTGGTGCAAACTTTGAAGCAGTGCACTTCGAGAAGAGACAGGAGGAAACAAGAAGTATGGATTAAGAGGAGGGTGATGAATATCATGAGTATGAGGGAGAGGAGATCAATGGTCATAATCATGTGGAAAGCAAGGACATCTTTGCTGTTGCTGAGGGCAACAAAGTGGAAGAGATGTATGAAAATAGTGTTGTTGTAAAAGAGGTAGCTCATGGTGAAGAAACCAGCGCCACTAATGACGATTTTGTAAATGTACAGCAGCCCTTTGCTGAAGACACTCTGGATATTCACAGTCCCTGTGAGGATATTTACCAAAACATGTAGCTTTCTACTGCCTCATATTTTTTGTGCATGCTAAAGGACCTCTTGAGGTTGCAATGATTCACAATGTTCGAAAACTCATGAAAAACACCTTTTATTGTCTGCTCTGTTTTTTTCTACTGACTGCTGACACCTCAAGCTTCAATGTATGAATAGATAACATCAAGGGTAAATTATCTATGATTTGTGAGTTTCTCGTTGCTTGTAATCTTCAAAATAAATAAACGTGAAGTTTGGGGTTATCGTCCCGTTTATTATTTCCTCATTGAGGTCATACGGTTGGACAAACCCAGAACACTATTAAAACTGCTTACTGTACATCTATTTCATATGTATTAATAAGAAAACCTACATCTACTTAAGATGGAGACTATATCCAATTATATTTAGATGTATTCAGATGATATTTTACTATATTCGGACAATGCAGTGTGTGACCTGCCACAGGTTATAGATATTTTTTTGATTGATTGATTTTTACTTTTTCAGGATATAAATATAAATATAAAATATTTGCACTTTTACACTTAACTAATGTATTGGATTATGCAAATGCTAACAGAAATACCAACAGTTTCTTTATCTAAATATCTTGGTGTGCACACTTTTGAAGTGGGAAAATGCATTCAGGGATAAGGTTCTGCGAACATAAAAGCAAACTATATTATGGTGTGCTATATCATGTTTAATTTTACAGGCTTACAGTATAATATTTTATGTTCATGTATGTTCATCCTCATGTATTCACATTCTCGTTGTCTCACACTAGTTAGGAGAGTTGTTAATCAGTGTGCCATGAGCTAAGCACATTCCAAAGACCTAGGCTGGGTCCTGAAGAGTAGGGCATCAGATGTGTTATGACTACTGTTTATCAGACATGAGACATCAATAGACACCCATGGGAAAGAGGCATATAATAGAGTGATTTTCTTTGTTCTAGTTAGTTGATTCTCGAGATAACTTGGTTTGCTTGTATCCTAGGTTGATGCAAATAAATCTTGCACGTGGAGTAAAACGGTCAATTGTCTTTGCTTTCTGTGAGTCTGTGTCACCATTCTGGGTACCTTCAGTGGGAGTTTGTGGTCTCTCACTATAGTCAGATAGCTAAAAGTTTATGTCAGATAGACATCGATTGAGGTGCATTAAGACGGAAAGAATAAACCACAACACTTTTTTGTTGCACCATATGTAAAACAACAAGGAGCATTTGGTTTAACCAACTTTGAATTTTTCTCTTCTCTTATGCCACCTTGAGAAGTGCTTCTCCCAAGAAGAAAACACATCATGGCTCCTGATGGAATGCAACATAGTCAACCCTCATAAATAAAAGTTCTTTTCTGTGGTTTTTATCCCAAGCAGAGCCTGGAAAAAACTGACCCTATTATATCTCACTCTGTTCAAATTTGGCAGTGGACTGGAAGTTTGGGAGACTGGGATGCGAAATGACATAAACAAACATACACCGATTTTAAATAGATTACTTTTGTCTGGAACGTAAACCTTTGGTTTCCCCCTCTTAGTCTTAATGCAGCATCCACACTCTATCCCATATCATTAATAATGAGGGTCCAAGGTCATTTGAAGACCTCCACAAAAATTTGCCATCAACTTTTCTTTTATCTACAGTTAAGGTCAGTTATTCAGGCTCATGAAGTTTGTTGGAAAAATGCTTTGCCTATACATCCACAAGATACATGCCTACCGATGGGTGTGACCCAGGTCTGGAATGCCTATTAATTGGTAAAGAGTGGAGGAAAATGTGACCTGCTCATCCCGAAATTATACTTATCAAATGATAAATTTCAAATGTATTCACAGATTAATTTGAGCTTTGTCCCACACCCATCTATGAAAATAATGAAGAAGGAATCTATTTGCATATTTTGTGGGACTGCCCAGATGTGAAGTGAACAACAACAATATCAGTAAAATTAACATGGGAGTCAAGCAGGACCATGGCAGGAGGCTCCACCAGGATCGATAAGAACCTGCGAGACGAGAAAGCACAAGAACTCCGGGGAAGAAGCAAAGTTAGTAACATGCATTAATGGGACATGAATGAGTGCAGAAAGAGAGAGAGAGGAAGAGAGGAGCTCAGTGCACCATGGGAAATCCCCCGATAGTCTAGGCCTATAGCAGCATAACTAAGGGATGGTTCAGGACTCACCTGATCCAGAGCCTTGTTTTGATATGAAGGGGTCTGACCATGAAGAGCTTTATAGGTGAGGAGGAGGATTTTAAATTATTTTCTGAATTTTACAGGGAGCTAGTGCAGAGAAACTAATATAGGAGAAATATGATCTCTTTTTCTAGATCCTGTCAGTACTCGTGCGGCAGCGTTCATAAATTAATGTGTCTAAGTCAGTGAATGTCAGAGAACACTTCTGGCCACAATAGGCCTGTCTGGCTAAAACACCACTTCTTAAGATGCAAATATGAAACAGGCCTACCTTTGTTGTTTTTATGGCCTACAAAACAAGGCTCAAACACCTGGGTTTAATGTTGAATACTGATATGATCTTATCATAGTCCAAAGAGTCAGAGTTCCTTTTCAAAGAACAAGAGGGCCAGGTTGTTGAGATGGGTAGTACTCATGGATGACCTGAGGTCCATTTTAATCCTACCTGGAGAGGGAAGCAGTATCTAGACACTACAAGAAGTCATGGGAAGGGTGATGACTTGAAATGGTTAGTTGAGGTTTGGAAAATGAGCGATGGGAATTCCAGCTATTGGCTACTTTGTGTCACTGTTTCTCAATAATGTATTATCAATATAATATTGTATATTGGTCAGAAACGGAAAATCCCCAATTTATCCATTTTCAATTAATCTATTTTTGCTCTCAAATGTTATCAAAATGTTATTGCAGCACTTCATGAATACTGGATAAAAATGCGGAAGTTGGTCTAGCATTGATATCTGGAAGGCTGTGGAAGTAACTCACTGAGTTTTTAATGATCAGATTTAGTCCCTTTCAGCATTGTTTGGTGGTGGAATGACATACATTTCGTCCTTCAGCCTTACCATAAAGTGCTTGGTATACCCCCCGTTGCCGACCTGTCTGTATTTATACTTGCGTGTGGTGGTCGCGACACTAGTTGCAGTCTTCTCCTGAACAGAGGTGTCGCTACTGAGGAAAGGCTACCGACTTTGCTATTTCTAGGCACTAGATTTGTTTTTTCCAAATCTGTCGCAGAGGTTCTTCCAAATTTTGCAGCATATGGCTTCCTCTTTCCAACATTAAATGAATTCTGGCACCTCTGGGCATCTCTGTGTTCCTTCATTTAAGGATCGTACAGATCGTCCATCTTCCTCTTTCTGCTTTTCAGCTGAAAAAAACAGAGTGGTGCGCGACCTGGCCAAAATCCTGGCGTGAGAGCTACGTAATTTTGACATCACATTGTCGCGAGACGGGTCGGCAACGGTGAGTATACCGAGCACTTTACTCTTCAACATTTGAGAGAAGATGCATGACAGATACATTATTGATGTGAGAGATTTTTATTAATATGCAGGATAATGTTATAAAGAGTTCGGTCTAGACCTGCTCTATTTGAAAAGTGTCCTGAGATAACTTCTGTTATGAATTGGCGCTATACAAATAAAATTTAATTGAATTGAATTGAATTGATATATTTAGCAGAACCAGTGGCCGATATACAGAAATGTACATGGGGTGGCGGAAATATAGGCTGATTTAAGAGAAAACAATCACGTATTAATATTTAATTGGAAAAGCTCCCCAGTGAGGATATTTAAACACAAACATTTTATTATTGTGGCACATTAGTAAAGCACTGAATAGAAATATATAAAGGTTGCATTAAAAATCAATCAATAGTCTTATTTCTTAATCTTTAGACATTTGTCTTTTCACTGAATAACTTTGTCTAAAACATGGCAATAACAGATCATTAAATTAATTTCAGTCAGGACCACTTTTGCCAAAAGAAATTTATATCCAAAAGCAGAATGTTATATTTGGTGGTATGGCTCTGTTCTGGGACCTCCTTGCCCTTCCACATGCATATGTGGAAAACCTTAAAGCTGTGCTTAATTTGTGTTTTAACATTAAATACGTTTTCTTTAAATGAATCTAAATTAATTTAAATTTGACAGAATTTGTCACCAAACTCCAGAACTGCCTCTGAGAGGAACATCTCTACAAACCTTTCCTGTGGAAACTGCTGGCTTTGTGGCATTCTGTGTGGCCTCTGCTGTGTTTCCCTCTGTCTCTCTTTTAAATTGCATATTTGATCTGCTGTTGATCTGTTCTGACTCTGAAGCTGCTGTGGTCTGGGTGGTCAGTGTCTACTGTTTGTAATTTTATGGGCTCACATTTGTGTAACGTGCATGGTGTAAACTATTGTCTGCTAGATACTTGTCGTTGTAGTGGAAAAAGCTATAAATATTTTCATTTTCAACTCACTATAGTCTACATGTCTATTTGTTGGTAAAATATAACTATGGGTTAATAAATGTAGTTATTTTGTTATTTTTTGTTGGAACATCTTTTGTCAGGGACAGCCCTAGAATTTGGTAGTAAAAAAAGGCACAAAGTGAGGAGTTCACCCTATTTCTAAACATTTTAAAATATCATTATTATTGGACAGGGTGCAATATGACATCCATTCCCACTAGATGTCGCCCTAGCACCAGTATCTCAGACCAAAACAAAACTGTTCGTTTTGCTTGCTTTCTACTTGGATGATACATGAGACATGTATCCTGTAAAAACGTTATGGGTGAGCTTTTATTAATTTTTTTCTAAATAGTCCACTTTTATTACATTTCCATCTTCTGCATCTGCTGTAATTATGGGTGCCAACATAACAGAATTGGGAATCTTATTTACAGTACTGATTATTTCCATGATCTGTACACCATATATTATTGTACAACACCTCACGTTTTACAGAAAAAAAACCCACAAACCTGACATTACTGTCATAGATCTTACTGGTAACCCTGAGGACTTAATGTAAAATTAATACTAAGAAAAGTAGTTTGACAATGTTAAAATATTGGTAGCATCCTGACTACCCCTATACTATATACTGTGTGACTATATCAGACTTAACTCAGAGAGAAGTGTTATCACATCATTAACAGATAATGTTTTAGGCGTGAGAAAGGTTTAAGGCGTGCCATGTTTCAGCTGTCACAACAGGGTAAATGTGTGTTCTTTCAAAGCCATTAAAGTCAGTGCCTATACTAACAGTGTAAGCCCCCGTGTTGTCAATGAGAAGCCAGTCCCCCACGTGCAACTCAGGAAGCCAGTAGTCATCAGTTAGTTTGTCAATGCTGTCGCAGGTTGGACCCCAGATGATAGACCGGTATTTCTGCTCACTGCCTTCATCGGCCTGCGTAGATTGAAATACATTGAAATATAAAACCTGCATCACACTTGTTCTCATATTCTCCTACAGTCTATTTAACATTTAAGAATTTTCTAAGGCATAAGTGATAGCCTCCAACATGCTGTTCCACATTTTGTTTTCAACAAACGATTCTAAATTACTGAACATGAAGGTAATATCAATTTATGTGACCCACTAAGTGTAATTGAATAATTAATGAATAATCTAATTGCAGAATCATCCAATGTGGCAACAAGGTTAATATTTACCGTGGGAAGGTATGGCACAAACTTGTAGAGAGAAGGGGCAAGGGTAATGGAACTCAAGGAGCCGTATAATCCATCATTAAGGTAGTACATTATCATTTTGTCAGGGCTGATTTCCAAAATGTCTGGAAAAAAAGGCACACAAAGTAATGAAAGTTACTAGAAGGGCATCTTTTCAAGTACACCATTATCTGTATCTGTTCAACTAACTCAATTAGCTATATTCGTATTCGACACATTTAAATGAAACTGCACTTTGTATAGTTCTGACATCCATGTGTTAATACTGGATAGAAAACAGATCTATACATTACCGCTGTGTTCCGTATCATCTAGGACGACTCTTTTGGCAATGACGTTTGCTGCCAGTGTAAAGGATGATTCCACATAGTATCGGCCTGGCTCAGCGATGATCTCCAGCTCACTGTCAGAGGGGAAGTATTCATCCAGTGCTCCATTAATGACTTCTGAAACCTAGGAAGGCAAAACACAATAGGTTCATAGCATATTTCCCAGGTATTACACCACCAATATCACTGATATTACAGGCAACAAAGGTAAGGTTTCTGCATGTGTCATTTGAGAGTCTGGATGAAAACCAAAGGTTTTGTCATTAATGACAAAGTTGGGTTTCTCCAGCATTGCATAAAATGTTGTCATGCCATGAAGTCACACAACCTCTAATAATGAAAAGGATGCAGATATATTTAAAAAAAATAATAAAGACAACAGATTCATTATACACTCAGATGGACTGTCTAAGGTTTCCTTGAGAGGTCCTTGAAGCTAAACAGACACTTGAACAGAAAATAGTTGTAATAATTATTTGTCATATTTGTCACACAGTGCATCACAACAAATAACAAGCACTAACACTGTATATTTTCTTTATTTTACCTCTTCAAATTTCACTCCGACGTCATCTCTCCCAGAGAACCCTCCACCTATATCCAATAGACTCATCTGGAATCCCAACAAACTCTGAAAAACATAAGTGTATATAAAAAGACTGTTAATTATTCGACTAATTAAATTATATATTTTTTGCCCATTATGTCTACAAACCAATACCTAACTCTATGCTGCCTGACTGAAACATGACCCTCTCTGACGTGCTGTGGTCAGCGTATAATTTCTGGTTGAGTGCTTCTGAGTTGCTGGTGGCTTATTTAACCCTGTTAAATTTGTTATAGTCTTCATTACATTGGATAATTGCCCACTGCACATTTTAACTTATGTAAGTTCTGCTCAAACACTCAAAGCTCTCTCCTTTTAATGACTTCTGTCTGTCTCCTTGTCCTGCTCTCATGACTCATGACTTACCGCTATGTCAAAGACATGTCGAGCATCTGCTATGGCCTGTTTGAATGCCGAGCTTTCAGTGCACCCGCTGCCTACATGGAAGCTGACCCCAATGACATCCAGGTCCAGCTCCCGAGCACGCCCCAGCAGCTTATCCACTGTCCCCAGTGTTGCTCCAAACTTTAAACTGAGTCTTCGCAGCGAGTCAGTGTCATCCACTGCAATGCGGAGTACCAGTCTGGAACATAATTCAAAAATATTAATTAAGACTTTAACAAGAATTTACACTAAATGTAGAAGCAAAAATATTAGTAGTTGTTCTCTTACCTGGCTGTAGGATGACAGAGAGAAATTTTTACGAGTTCATCCTCGTTGTCAAAAGTCATCATATTTACTCCATGAGTACGGGCATATTTGATGTACGACCGTGCTTTGGTTGTGTGTGCATAAATGATTTTATCCGGTGATACTCCGAGGGACAGGGCCAGCTGAATCTCACCCTGTTAGAATGAAACATGCTTCAGATGAGAAGGAAATAACCTTCTCAGACAGATTGTGAAGAAAGAAAGCAGAGTTAGATTATGTTTAAAACACTTCACAGTACCTTGCTAGCACAGTCAAAACCTGTGCCCAGAGCAATCATCGTCCTCAAAACCGCTGGTGAGCTGTTGCACTTCAGTGCATAGAAAGGCTTGACTCGAGGTAATGTAGTGATCCATCTCAGGTGCTTCTTAACCATATCATCTACATTTGCCACATAGAATGGCTGTTCACTGTCCTGAATGAATAAAGTTTACATTTTATTTCGAAACAGCACACACAAACTGTCTCACAATACTTTCACATAATTATAGGTTCATAGTCAGGGAAGAATCATGATATCTCTGATACTCACCTCTGAACCAAGTTCCTTTATTTTATTGTCTATGAAATCATTGATGGTCCTTCCATTGTCTAAAATTTCAATGTCACAATTCTCAGGGGACAAAACGTTCAAGACTGATCCATTTGTAGTTACTGGTGATGCAAGGGATGACAAAAGCATACAATTAATAATTGTCAGTTTACATTTACAAAAACAGAACCGGATCACATTAAAAATGATGTTTGTATGAATAATTTTTTCACACAGGGCTTATAGACATGCAAATCTGACAATGTCGTTGTGAGCAGTTAAGGGTTCAGTGCTGCGGAAGTGAACTGGCACTTCTCCAACTACCGATCTAAACAATGATGCGGTCCATGCTGGACTTGAACCAGCCACTCTCCAGTTCCAAAATGGATTAAGCAACTGCCGCACCATAAGCCTCATATAGCATTCATAGCCACATTTGCCTCAGATATTACATCACATTAAACATCGCCCTGAGAGGATTTATCTTTGTCTTACCACAGGCTGCAAGCTCCTCCATATTTGGGATCCCAGAAAATCTCAAAGATTTTCAAATGAGTCTAAGTATTATCACAGCTTTTCGTTGCAGCAGCACTGGAAGTAAATTCTCACAAGTTTGAAGTGAAATAAGACAGACGTGTATGCTGGTTTTGTTTGCACACCAGTGACATGTCCCCACCTACTTCGTTTGTTAGCACATCAATGACTTTTCCCCGCCTCCTATATTAAAACAAACAATTCTTTGCCTTTCTTCCCAAGTCAGTTAACATGCAATCATCTTATTTCACACTGCTCTACAGTATGTTATTTAAAACATCTCTGAATATAATGCAGCCCTGTGGAACACTGTACTACATAGTTTATGGTATAGATTGTACAGGCGTACCCAAAAGTGGCCTCTGTGTACACACATATATGGTAAATGGACCTGTACTTGTATAGCGCCTTTCTAGTCTTCCGACCACTCAAAGCGCTTTTAAACTACGTGCCACATTCACCCTTTAACACAGTGATGACAAAGTCCATCGAACAGAAACTAACATTCATACACATTCACACACCGATGCACGGCATCGGGAGCAATTCAGAGTTCAGTATCTTGCTCAAGGATACTTCTACATGTGGCACCAGGAGCCAGGGATCAAACCAACAACCTTCAGATTAGGGGACTACCCGCTCTGCCTCTGAGCCGCAGCCGCCATATATACCATTGTAACCACTTTCTACAATGCAAGACACTGGCCTAACCATAGGGAGCGTCCTCAGTGACCAAATTACATGCAATTTAATGAAATTAATAGTGTATGCACAGGTTCAAGTGCAATTGAGACAACACAAAAGTAAACTTTCACTGGTCAGATCACTCATTTACATATCACTGACCTTATATTTAAGTTGACATAGTAAAACTAATGTTGAGTTTTCCTTTCCATTATCTGAAAGGCAAACAGGACCTCTATTTTGGGTCATCACAGTTAGAAAACAACAATGCTTTCTAAATTAGTAGAGAAAGTAAATTAGGAAAAAACGTTTGAAAGTTCTGAATGTTGGTTTAAATTTTAGAATTTTCTCTATTCATTAAATCAAGGGGTTGGTTAATTTAATGTTTGGCTGGTAAATGCTGCTGTGCTTTTTCGTGGGGATGTAAACCAATACAAACAGATGATTCCGGATACAATTAGAGAGGATTCCCAATTAGTTAAAGGCTTTGGTTTGCGTTTGGTTTTGAAAATGGATTGCAAGACCAGTCCATCAGTTCCACACATAACAAGCAATGTCCCAAATTGAAGTTGTTTTTTTTCATTACACATAATGAAAACATTTTAATAACAACTCACATCACTTATCCACTGGCATCATTTTTGGGGGGCCACTGGATTTTAATGCCCTTGAAAGTTAAAGACACTTTGTCACTGCCCGAACCTATGATATTTAAGTCGACCAAAACCTGCCCAGGCCACAGGTCACTGGCAGCACCCCCAATGCCTCAGTGTTTGTTTAAGTGTGAACCTATCATGATGTCACCCATTGGTTTGTGGAGTACCGTTCTGAAGCCTCAAGTTTGGCGATATGGTCATCTCCATGACAGTTTGTCTGAGCCAATGGATGAGATATGCTACGAGTTGAGCTGCTCTCATTGGCTACACAGTTTCGACTCATCCATAACAGGAAACAATGGTGGCTCTCCTGGTCACTCACAATCTTGTATTACAACTAAACAGTACAGTTAAAATATGTTTAAATTTTAGAAATAGGCAACGCAGTAACAGAATCTGGATCCATATTTGATCAGCACTGCCTAGTTTGACAGTTTGATCTGAGTTTGGTGCGCTGAGCTGGATGGACTCACTGAGAATAACCTGTCAATCACAAGTTAGCCACGCCCTAAAGCATACCCGGTTTTATCTGTCTATATTACCCTTTAAGGGGCCATACTTTATTTATAATAATAATAATGAATCTCCATAAGAGTACCCCTGCTGGGCATTACATAAGATGCAGGTTTAAGACACACAGACCTGGATGCTCTGTCCATTATATATACTACCAATGGTTTAACCCACGTTGGCACCAATGCTGATCTGAATAAAAAAATTAAATTACCCTAGGTTGGCTTGAATATCAGTCTTTTATTATTCTTTTAATCATTGGTTGAGTTACTATTACTTGTTTTGTCTTGTTTGATCAATAAATACATCACTTCAAACTGTAGTGCAAATGCAAACCTGTTTCTAATTAGTATATAACAATGGGACTTTACATACACACACTTTGAACATGCGATGTATATTTGAAGGAAAAATGTAGAACTTAAAAATCTACATGGAAGGGAGAAGATAAAACTATTTAAATATTTACAGGAGGAAACAAACTGCTGTTTACATATATAAACACACTAATCCAGAGATCTGGAGAGAAAGAGTGAGAGAGAAGGTCAAACTAACTTTAAATATTTACAAGCTACAGGCACATCCTAATCCAGAGATTCAGAGAGATAGAGTGAAAAAGAAGCTCAAATGTGCCCCAGACACCACACTATTATTGACTGCCTGCACACGGCGCATAGAAGAGAGGAAGACGTCACTTCCTCTTATAATATGCACAATGTAAATATTCTAAAACTGCAACTACATTGAAACAAGCTTTATGTTAATAATATTAACACAGCCTCACAATTTCTCAACTTCAAGTCTGTCAGCCACTCATACAGTTTGTATACGGACAGTCTTTTATTTGAATCCACTTCCTAGGTGTGAATGTTAGAGGTTCTCTAAAATAAAATGGAAATGGGACCGGTTTGAAGACAGTAGTGTCTTAGTCTTTTCCCCCTTGCTGCTGCTCCTAATGGTCTTGGTGGTGGCCTCTCTAGTCCGTAGGAAGAGACAATGTGCCAAGCAGCCTGGACACACTTCGATGTAAATGTTTGTGTTTCAGAAAGTAATTGTGTGATAGTCACAAAAATTATTTTATATTCATGATACACTTGTTTCTCTTAGGAACCAGTGTGCAGTCAGTGAAGAGGAGGAGGGGGAACAGCACTGTATTAACTGAAGCACACCAGAAAGGGGCAGGAGCAACCAAAAGAAGAAAGCGGTTTGTGATGAGGACCATGATCAGCAAAGAAGATAGTAACATCATTGGGTTTCATTGCACTGGAATACCTTATACATCAGTACAAGACTGTGAGCACAGAATGGCTTCACAAGTTAGCCCCTTCAGACCCGCCTTATGTTCCAAGGTTGTGAAAAATATAATAATGACTTTTTCCCATCCTTAATGCAACCAGAAATGAGAATCAAAACCCTTTAATTGTTATTTTTCTTGTCCATTTCAATGGACATCGGGTCCAAACAGTAGTTATAATACCAACATCATATGACAACATCATACCTATTTTTTGTCTTATAATTGTCACATTGACATCACATGGAACATGAACTTGAACAGTTCAAATTATGTTTTTTTTGTAAGGTCCAAACAGTTTTAAAATATAATTTTATTTATTTTTTATTTTTTTGTTCTGCATTTGGAATATTCTCAACTGATTATCAACTCATTCCCTTGTTCTGATGTACTGTTTTTATAGTAATAAGGTCATTCATCAATACTGGTGAATTGAGTTCAATAACATGGTTTCTGACCCACTGTTCATTCTAATGGACAGCGATATTTGAAAAAAATCCTGTGTAAGAACTTGCACTGAAACATGTGATATTACACTTCTATTCATACATTCCATCTTTCAAGTGGTGTTAAATGTTGCAAAAAGTAAAAAAGAAGGGTCTGAAGGGGTTAGGAGAGGACATACAAATGTCAGTGAAATATGAGGTCATGACAGTAAGCAACAGTGCCCAGGAGGCACTATGTCAAGAAACAGTCATGGAGTTTTAAGTTACTACAAGGAGTTATCTCGAATTATCTGCAGCTCGAATTATCACCAGAACCCCCTCCATCCACCACATCACCCCTGTTCTACAGCAACTCCACTGGCTCCCAGTAAAACTCCGCATTGACTTCAAAATCCTCCTATTCACGTTGAAGGCCATCCACAACCTCTCCCCTCCTTATCTGTCCGAACTCCTCCACATCGCCAACCCTTCCCGTTCCCTCAGATCTGCCTCCTCTGTCCACCTCTCTGTCCCTCCCGCCCGCCTCGTCACCATGGGGAGCAGGGCTTTCAGCCGCTCTGCCCCCCAACTCTGGAACTCACTCCCACCGGACCTCAGGAACCTGGACTCTCTCACACTCTTCAAATCAAGATTAAAAACTCACCTATTCAGAACTGCCTACCCCACTTAACCATCTACATTGTCTTTTCTTATCTGTTTCTTATTTCTTGCTGTTTTTTTTTTTGTTTGTTTTTTTGTGTTGTACGGTGTCCTCGAGTGCCCAGAGAGGTGCCTCTAATAATTTAATGTATTATTATTATTATTTAAAACCGGTTATGGACAAATGAAAATAATCACAGAAACTGCATAGGATCAAGCTAGAACACTTATTTTACATACTCAGCAATGCACTGCAAAAGTGCATCATAAATAAAACCTTAAACTTGCACACAGTTTCCTGTATGTGCCTGTGTGGGTGTGAGAGTGATCATTTTGAAGAAAGAAGAAGTAAAATAATATTTTTCACACCAATCCCTCAACTTTTTACACTTACATCAAATGAACACTATACATAATACATAAAACTGCACGGCTGTGTTTCAGTGCTATGTACAATTGTAAGTTTAGAATAGGATTGAGCTGAGAATATGGAACCCATTGACAGTGTACTGTGCCTTTGTGATTGTCTTACAATCATACCAAACACCAGTTATTGGGCTTAATGATGTTATTGCACCATTTATTGCAATGCCTACATAGCTTGAAGGGACACATTCTGTGTTTTGATGCTATAATTCAACATTGAAATAATCTTACTAAAAGAGTCAGCTGTCCCCCATTTGTGTCAGGATTTCCATTCTTGCATGGCTCACACGCAATTTAAAGTTAGAATATGAGCAGCTTTATCACTGAAAAATCAGAAAAATCATAATAATTGTGGATATAGTGGGTGTTTGATTTCAGACAGTGGTAGGCTTCTTATTTCAAGCAAACAGTGTATTTCCATCTAAAATGA